AGTGACTTTTCTGCTTCAAATTTAAATTCTTTCTGTGTATTTTGTGTCAGATCAATGATGGCCAACGACAAGCTAAGGACACCAAAGACCAGGGCAAAAACCTCCAGGACCAGATCAAGAAAAACATGGACTCTCTCAAGAGTGAGAAAAATAAAACCAAAGGGCTCATCCAGCGAGTCAAAGACTACCTAATAGGTCAGTGTTTAGATGATGGTGCAGGAACCTGGTTCTCACCTGGGGTTCCAACCTTTGATCAGTTTACAGATGAGATACTGTATCATTGGGCTCAAAGTAATATACCACAGCTTCAATATAACAATATTAAACCATTACTAATCAGGTATCCTCCCTGACAGATGACATGGTTCCTGCTGAGGATATTGGAAAAATGGCCCAGGCTGTTCTGGACATTCAGCTGCCAAAATTACCAGTGATCAATCACATCAATAATCTGCTGTCCAACGCGACCACTTCCCCAAAGAACCTGGACGATCACGCCAAGGATGCCCAGACTCTCGTGCACAAAGCTCAGGAAGTCAGGTCAGTGTCTGAAAACATGAAATCACCATTGGGTAAACATCTGCTGATTCTGAGAAGAAAAGGAAGAAGAGGGTCATTAACCAACAAACTAACCCTTTAACTTGAATATGAGACATAACCCTAACACAAAACATTAACTGGACCACATCTGGACTAAAACCTAAAACCTCAAGCTCTAACGAGAATACAAAAGTTTGACTCTTACCCCTTCAAATCTAACCTTCAACCAAGTTTGACCAAAACAAAAGATTGGAACTATAACCCAGAACTGTATCCAAAACACCAACTTTACCCAAACATAAATACTCTAACAGAGACAGCAAAGACAGCAAAGCTTAACTTTAAACACAACTCTTAAAAATATACCAAAATACCAAACTGACTAAAACACAGAACTCAACCTCAAAAACAACACTTTAACAAAGACACAACATGTTAGCAAAGACATTCATTTCAAACACTGTAGCAACCAGTCTCAGTCTTCAATGGTTAACCTGTGCCACTTTCCAGTTTTTAGAAGCCTTTTGGAATATTGTATTAATGATTGTCTTTAAAAGGCTGCGTGAAGTACTCGTATGGGTTTGAGTAATATCTGACACATCAATGAAGGCTGTCGCTAAGAATTCACTTTTTAACATAGATTTTCGGATACTTAATCATTATTTATTAGTACTTTTTCAGAACAAGCATTGGGTTTTCTTCCTGCATATCTACTAATCCTGTAAACATCTGTTAGCTTTCAGTTACCTGGATGATGATGCCTGACGGTTTGTTTTGACCTCCATCTGAACACAGGGCCTTTATGAATTCACGTATTTTGAAGCTGTCTTGTTATTGCTTTTTATGTTGAGGGAGTGGACAAGAAACATTGATGTGACAGAGATCAGCAGAGATATTTATAAAGCAGAGGAAGCTCAGTCCAAAGCCAACAACAACCTGGACACAGGCAGCCAAGACAAAGACGTGGCAAAAGACCAAATCAAAGACGTAAAGATCAAAAACTTTTAAAATGTCTCTCATATTTTTTGCTTGAGTTCGGCAAAAATTGATCGTCAAATAAAATTGATGTGTTTAAACCCTTTTTTTCAGATTAAAAACAAACTATATGACATCGAAGCAAAGCTGATGAGTCCTCAACCTGAAAGTTTGAAGGACAAGATCGATGCACTGACGAGGAAAACTGAACACAACAGAAACACAACCAGAAGGGCCCAAGCGGCTGCAGACTCTGCTTTAAACCAGACAACTGACACAGAACCAGTAAGACATCTGGCACAGAATTCTCTAATCAAGTGTATTCTTTAAAAAGGACAAAGTCATTATTGTGGGGGATTGCAGACGCAAGAGCCCCTTGCGTGTCCCTTGCGTGCCTTTTCACACCTCCTTGCGTGCTTGCGTGCGTCGACCCATTTTGGGTGCGCACGCAATGGCCTCTGATTCGCGGAGGGAGATCTCTGCAAACGCCGGTTTGCCAGTCGAGGGGAACAAAGTTGTGGAGGAAAATACGGGACAAATGTGTCCTTGATGAAAATCAGCAGTGGCGATGCACGAGGCAATAAAGTCTATGATACATAAATAAACAAACCAACGATTTCCACACACAAAGACGTGACTCTCTAGGTCGTCCTCAACAAAAACATGTTACTCCACCTGTTGTTCTGGCGGTGAACTGCTCTGCAACACACGCAAGACTTTTAGAACCATGAATTGAAACGAGGGTAAAGATGCAGACGCAGAAGCATGCGCAAGCCTTTAACTGTAAAAAAAAACAGCCCTTAACTTAAACCTGACCCTGCCCCAACTATAAACCTGAGCCAGTCATTTGTATAAACCACAGCCAGCCCCAATTATAAACCCGAACCAGCACTAACTAAAAACCTTGAACCAGCACTAACTATAAACCTGAACCAGCCGTTAGTATAAACATGAGGCCGTTCTAATTGTAACCCTGTGCCAGCCCTAACTATAAACCTTCGACCAATCGTAACTATAATCCGTTCCAGCAATAAATGTAAAACTGAACCAGCCCTCATTATAAACATGAACAACTATAAACCTGTACAGGCACTAACTCTAGATTTGGACAAGCTCTAATTATAAACCTGAGCTCGTCCAAATTATAACACTGAGCCAGCCCTAACTATGAACCTTGAACCAATCAAAACTATAATAAGTTCCAGCCATAACTTTAAACCTGACCCAGCAATAACTATACACCTGAGCCAGACCTAATTATTACCTCTGTCCATGTAACAGGAGCTTGCTAATGTGATATGGCTGTTTAAGCTTCTAAAGGAGAAGACAGCCAATCAGACGGCTGCAGAACGACTGACAAAGATGATGGAAGAGGCCGAGGAATTAAAGGAACAGGTGGAGGAAAAACTCCTCCAGCTATTCGGTACTCCAATTGTGATATCACAACCCAAGCATTTACCAAGACCAGAGTACTACTGTAGAATTCAAGCATCATAAATGTATTGTGTGTTGTCAGATATGGAGGAGAAGATCCAGCAGCTGATCCAGAATAAAGAAGGCAAAGAATCTGAAGTCGCCATGTTGTTACAAATGGTGGATTCACTTCAACAGGAGATCGCTAAACGAGCTAAGGGATACTCCATTTGTATCTCATAATAACTACTGAGAACTATATACTGTAAAACAGCCCTACCAATACTACTGACTACTGCATAGTCAAACACAGATCCTCATAAATACTACTGAGTGATGATGTGTAGCAGTCAAACCTCAGTTAAATATTTGACATTTATTCAATAAAATATTTTCCATGGCTATAAAAATTGTAAATAATTTGAGTTGTTTTTTATTTCAATTTTAAAATACTTAGTTGAAATGTGTCTGGGGCAAAGAAATAGAGCGGCTCTTCTTTTGTCTCTAGTGTCACGGCCATGCCATGTCCCTAGTCTGAGTGTGTCTGTGTGGTACTGAGCTCCTCTGGACTCCCTGATTGCATTTCACCTCACTTGCTCAGGCAAACAAGCTGCCTGCAATCCACTAATCACCCTGCAGTATATCTACCCCGGTTCTTCACCTACTCCAACAATCTTGTTGTTTCTGTTGACAATCACCAGTCTGTCTGCCGTTCCCTTTCTGGATCCCCCTGCCTTTTCCGATCGTGTCTCCATAATTGTTTCCCTGGCAATAAATACGTTCCTGCTGCTACTCCCTGGTCTGTCTGCACTTGGGTTCGCCACCACATATTGTAACATGAAGAATGATGACTTTTGATTCTTTGAGTCATAACAAGCCATCCTGTAAATACTTGGAAAAGGGGCTTCCTTTCCTGTCTCCTTTAGCAAATGAAAGGCGCTTTAATGCCTCCGTTCCTTGGTCCTTTAGCACAAGAACGGTGCTTTATAACTTCTTTAGCAAAGGAAAGGTTCTTCAATGCTTCCTTTCTTCTCTCCTTTAGCATCAGAACGTGTTTGTTTGAGTATGTGTGTGTTTGTGTGTTTTTTGTGGTAATGGTCATTCCATTAATTTGTTGATGTCTGTCATCAGACCGGTCAGCTACTCTCTAAATGGCTAAAAGCATGCCATCACACTTTCGCAATTATTACCCAAAATGCAACAGGGTGTGCAGTCCTCAACGGGTCTTCAGATGTTCAGGTAGGGGTCGGATTCCCGAACACCCTTCCCCCCCAAAAACGTACTCACACATGCCCACACACTTATTCCTTTGTTGTTGCAGGTGATGTTTAACTGTGGGGAGGAGGGGATGTGTGTCTGGGGGGGGGGGGGCTCAGGAATGTCTTTTGTCTGTAGAGCCCTGAGGGGGAGGACTGGGGCTCCAACTGCAGATGAAGAATCACTTAATCCATTTATATGTAAAATCTGCTTATAGTTAGAACATGTAAAAAAGAAAACGGCAAATAAAAGGGAGTCACAGCTGTAATATAAAAATGTAAATTTATTCAGAATTGTTCAACAATGTAACTTATCTTATTTAAACTCTGCGGCCGGAAGTCTATGTATACAAGTTATACATAACGCAGAATCCATTCATGTGAAAAGATATATTCACAGTACTAGAATTGTATGTCTTTATTTGCTATTTCTTTCGTTTTTATTCTCTTATTTTATCAGCAGCTATGTTTATATTGTATTGTTCTTGAGCGCTGCAACGTGCTTTCTACGTCTCACTGAGTTTTATTTTGAAAGTCCCCCCGGACGCTTCGTCTCGCGCTGTCGGTACCGGCGCATATAAACAGGCGGAGTCGCAAGAGGTCTCAGATGGTCTGGACCTCCTAGAGAGTTTCTCAACTAAAGTGCGCTTTGGTTTAGAGTTTCAGAGGAGGAGGCCTGAAGAGTTTTAAGGGAGGACTAAAGAGTTTCAGAGGACTAACGTTAAACGTTGCACGGCTGGAAGGTTCCGGTCGGTTTCAAGTCTTGTCGGAGCTTCTGCCGTTCCTCTTGTTCGGATCAGACCGAGGATCAGAAGCATGTTGGAGCTTCAGCTCTCGGTGCTGCTCGGTGAGTTAAACTACTAAAACCAAGACCTACTGAACGAATTTATATATCCATATTTAAATGATTCAAAATGTAAATACTGTACTTAAAAGCTGAAATTAAATAATTGTCAAATGAATCGATGATGGTAATAAACGTTTCGCTCGAAGTGATGAAGTTGAGAAGAAACTTTTATATAATTCATTTTGAATTTTAAAATTATTTAGTTAAATTATTGAGTTTTCAATCAGATGACGAGTTCATTGATTAAATGTTTCATCGGAGATCTGATCAAAGATCAGTTTCTTATCTTGACTCTTCTCTTAGTTGACGATCAATGAGAAACTGTAGCTAGTAGAATACAATGTAACACCGATCCAAGATCCCCCCCCACTCACTCCACCCATCCCCATCCCCCACTGCGGTGTAGACTACATGTCTCACCTGGTTATTAATAAGGAAAGCCACTGATTTAAGGCATCTGTTCAAACTCTTCTCCTTCGAAAAGTCTGCAATAAAGAGATATTTTTTATTTCATCATTAAGTCATCATTTTGTGATATAAAGATAGCTCCTGTAAAACAGATTGTTTTCATTTACAGTCAGACTGTGTGACAGACTCAAAACTAATTCAAGGCTCTAATGAAGCAAAGTCTGAAGCTGCTCTCGTCTGCAACAAGGACAAGTTAAACTAACAAAAGATCAGACATCCTTCTAACCAAAGACCCAGAGCCGCACATATACAGAGCCACAGAGCAGAAATACAGAGATACAGAGCCACAGAGCAGAAATACAGAGATACAGAGCAGAAATACAGAGATACAGAGCCACAGAGCAGAAATACAGAGATACAGAGCAGAAATACAGAGATACAGAGCCACAGAGCAGAAATACAGAGATACAGAGCCACAGAGCAGAAATACAGAGATACAGAGCCACAGAGCAGAAATACAGAGATACAGAGCAGAAATACAGAGATACAGAGCCACAGAGATACTGAGCCACAGAGCAGAAATACAGAGATACAGAGCCACAGAGCAGAAATACAGAGATACAGAGCAGAAATACAGAGATACAGAGCCACAGAGATACTGAGCCACAGAGCAGAAATACAGAGATACAGAGATACAGAGCAGAGATACAGAGATACAGAGCAGAAATACAGAGATACAGAGCAGAAATACAGAGATACAGAGCCACAGAGCAGAGATACAGAGATACAGAGCAGAAATACAGAGATACAGAGCCACAGAGATACTGAGCCACAGAGCAGAAATACAGAGCCACAGAGCCTGAGTCACGGAGATACAAGATGCTGAGCTACAGGTTAGAGGAGAGAAACTGCACAGGAATAGAAAGACACAAACGTCCTTTCATCCCTAAAATAACCGAAAATAATACATCTCAGGATAACCCTCAAATTGTTTTTTTCTGTCCGAATATATTTACATTCCTGTAGTAGGTTACGATGTATTTAAAATCCTAAAACTGCTTTAATGGTGGATCATTGAAAATTCTGCATGATATGTATATGACATAATTATAATATTTGGTCCATAATTTAAAGAAAATGACCTTTTTACCGTCTCAGGCTAAACAACTAATCTGTTAATCAGCGTGATGTTTCGCCTGATCCAGACAATGAGCATTGCCAATGCTTTACTACCGTAAAGACGTAAAGACTTTCGCGGCCGCCTCCTCTCTCAGTTCTGCAGGTGCTTACCTACGCTCAGGATGGGGGGGGCATGGGGGGAGGGGCACAGGATGATGTCAGCCTCCCGGAGTTCACTGACGTGTGCACAGAGGGAAGCTGTTACCCAGCAACAGGAGACCTTCTGATTGGCCGAGCCCACCAACTGTCATCCACCTCCACCTGTGGACTGAACCACCCAGAACCGTTCTGCATCGTTAGCCACCTGCAGGTAAACCGCACCTCAACAACACAACATGCAGGTAAACAACACCCAAACAACACAACATGCCGGTAAAAAACACCTAAACAAGAGGGTGGGAGAACCACTTCAGTACTGTGAAGATTCTCCTGAGATACAACAGAACCAAACCAGCACAATTTGCTCTCACAAAGCCTAACACACAAACACACACAGGCGCACATACACACACACACACACAGATGCCAACACTTTTTTTCTCTTCCATAACTCTGATAGGCTGGTCACTTTGTTTGGGTAAGTGTGTGTGTGTGTGTGTTGCAGTCTGCACTGTTTCCTGTGTACATGGCCTCCCTATAAGGAAGTTCTGAGCTCTGACAGATGTTTGTCCAGATGTTTCTGTGGAGAACAAACAGACTGGAGGCCAGAGGGAACTGAGTAAAGCTGTGGATCAGATCTTAATTCTGTGTGTTTAGAGTCTCCTGACCACACAACCCTGATAACCCCAACTAGTGCTGCGAGGAGCAGCTTTCTACCCACAGCACTGAGATCAGTCTGGGACTTTATGATGGCGCTACACAAAGTTTGACTTTATTAATAATAATATATTATACTATATATTATCCATCCATCGTCAAACCGCTTATCCTGCACACAGGGTCGCGGGGGGGCTGGAGTCCATCCCAGCCAACTTCACACTCACATTCACACACCTACGGGAAACTTAAGAGTTACCAATCAACCTGATCCCCAGAGCATGTCTTTGGACTGTGGGAGGAACCCGGAGAACCCGGAGAGAACCCACGCAGACACGGGGAGAACATGCAGACTCCACACAGAAAGGCCACTGGGCGGAATCCAACCCAGGACCTTCTTGCTGTGAGGCGACAGTGCTGACCGTGCCGCCCCACTGTTTATTATATAATATATTGTAATATAATAACTTTAAAAAAAGAAGACTGACAATGTTTAACTAATAAGAGAATAAATTACTAAAGTCAATTATTTTACGAATATAACATTTCAAACAGGAAATTAACATCAGCAGTTTGTTAAATGAAAGCAGTTTTCTCTCCAGTGAGGAGTCTGAGGATTGCACCTCTTTACCCTTTAAAGCCCCCCCCCTCCCCTCCCCCCATCTGTCCGTCCCACATCTACATAGTGACATGATCCGTCTCTACCTGTCTGTCACACATTAATAAGTTGACATTTCTCTGTCTCTGCCTATGTCTCTCCCTGCTTGTCTCCATGGACCAGGAGGAGAAGAAGTGTTTCCTGTGTGACTCCTCCACGCCGTACGACGAGCTCAGCAGTCCGACCAGAGGTCATCGCATCGAGAACGTTGTCACCACGTTTGCTCCCAACAGACTGAAGACCTGGTGGCAGTCTGAGAACGGTGAGAAGGGTCAGAGGTCAACATCAGTCAGGCGGGGTTGCAACCGGGTCGACGTTGGTCACATTAACTTTATGGAGTGTTTATGTTTACTTGTATTGATCTGCTGGTCGGAACACTTTCCTAAATAGATAAGGAGGATGTGTTTTATGATGGTATCATTAGCTTGATCAATACAATTTGAGTACTACTGCTCTGCTTGTCATGATCCTATTGGGCTCAAAGGAATGCTCATGTCTATGATGAGTGTGGGTAGCAAACTAAAGGTCGTTATTGATCAGTGTACTGTATACTGTTTATGTAAAGTGACTGAGCATTTGGAAAAGCGCTATATATAAACTAAATTTATTATTATTATTACTCATGTTCTGTTATACCTGGTCAATAGATGATTGACTATCTATTGGTGTAACGGTCTGCAGGTCTGGAGAACGTCACTCTACAGCTGGACCTGGAGGCAGAGTTCCACTTCACACATCTCATTATGACCTTCAAGGTACACTTTATGCAGATCCACACAGCAGAGCATAATTATGCTTTTAAGTGATAGTACTTTTCGACCCAAAAAGATAGTTGTTCAATGTCTTCAGTGGTTTTTTGAAGATGTCATCGTGTTCACCGGGGTTTAATATGAGATCATAAGGTGGGACATTTATAGGACTATGCATGTTATGATGTCATACGAACCCGCTGCCCTCAACCCAGTTAGACAGAGGATGGATAAACCAGCTACTCCTAGTTAGGGACGTGGCTTTGCTCTAAGACTGTGTCAGTTTGTCCAGATGAGGTAAGCTACGATGCTGCAATAGCTCATTTAGTTATTTATAACGTTTATAAAGTTGTATGACAGCCGTGGAGAATTTTTGCTCCTTCACCAGTAGTTTGATTGGCAGGTGGTCCATCCAATTACCTGCTGCACATGTTTTGGAATAATCCCGCCCTATTCCAACACAGCGTTGGTTTGGTATGACAAGTCATCTGGAGGAGGGTTAGATCCGTAGTAATGAAGCTGACCTCAGGTCTGATAGTAAACTGGCTCACTGTTGATTCTCAGGTGGATTCAGTAGCCTTTTCTAACATTGGCAATCTTTTTTTTTTGTTCCAGACGTTTCGACCTGCCGCCATGTTGATCGAGCGCTCTGCAGACTTCGGGAAGAAATGGCAGCTTTATCGTTACTTTGCCTACGACTGTGAGAGCGCCTTCCCATCTGTGTCACAGGGACCAATGCAGAAGGTGGATGATGTCATCTGTGACTCTCGTTACTCTGACATTGAGCCATCCACTGAAGGAGAGGTACTGCAGTATTCTACGGATGTATTCACTAAGAGCTAATCTGGTAATGTAATGGTAAAATATAATGATGATAATGTTTTATTAGATTAATGTCTAAAGCTAACCATGACTTTAATTGTGAGGAATTGTCTCGGCAGAAGAATCTCAGAACACCTTTCCTCTTTGATCCCATTTGTCTATGCAAGGGTGTAGCTTTGGTCTCGGCATTGGTCGGGACCTACCAGCCGCCCCCCCAGATAATAAAAAAAACAACAGCAAATATTATGTTGAACAGGAAAACATTATTAACATTTGTGTAACTTGGCACTGATTTAAACATAATAATGGTGATGAAACCTTATTCTAAACACAAAACTATATTCTGCACCAAATGAATAATAATAATGGATACTACAATCAATTGATAAAAAACGTTCTGCTAAAATACCAATATACACTAACCGTATATTATATATCCAAAATATAGTTCTGCAGCACTTAATAAGCTATAAAAAAAGTGCTTTCCTCCTTTATGCATAGCTATTTGTCTTTTGATTCCTTGCACCAAACAAATACCTCCGTCTATCATTCAGAGATGAACTATTGGCCTACATCTTTAAGCTCAATCTTGTCCTGAGAAATCTTGATGCACATGGCATACAGACATTGTTCAGCCGCTGCTGGGACATGGTTGACCTCAACCATCTTAACACACTGAAGCTCAGCTTCAGCTGAGACATCAAGATTCTGATCAGCTTCTCCACTTTGCCAAAGAGGCCCCTTACCTCTCTTGGCATCACCCTAAGAACTACAGCTTCCTAGTGGTGCTGACTGGACATGGATTGGATCATCAGTACTGGATTTCTGAGCAATGAAATAATGTATTAATTAATTATATAATTAAACATTTCCGGAATTCAACGTTTTTAATAAAGTGTGAACATTTGGTCATTCCAGGTTATTTTCAGAGTTCTGGACCCAGTGTTTAGGATAGAAGATCCCTACAGCCCCCGAATCCAGAGTAAGTCCCCCTACAACAGACCATGCGATGTATTAAGAATATCGATACGGTATTATCCATTGTTGACGTGTCATTGATCTTTGGTTCAGACATGTTGAAGATCACCAACCTGCGGGTGAAGTTCACCAGACTGCACACACTCGGCGATAACTTGCTGGACTCTCGTATGGAGATTAAAGAAAAGTATTATTATGCCATCTTTGACATGGTGGTCCGAGGAAACTGCTTCTGCTACGGACACGCCGCTGAGTGCGCCCCAGTCCAAGGAGCCGGCCAGACCAGTGAGGGCATGGTGAGTCATGAATTGGGCAGGGTGAGCTCTGAAGGAGGAAAGGTGAGTCCTATAGGCAGCAGGGGGAGTCTTATAGGGGGCATTGTGAGCTCTGAAGGGCAAACGTGGGTCCTGTAGGGGAGTCCTATTGGGGGCAGGGTGAGTTCTGAATGTTTCCTATAGGCCCAGGATGTTCACACTTTTTTGGCTCGCAAGATAGTTTTCAATCGACCAATTCATGGCAGGGGTAGGGTGAGCTCTGAAGGATAAAGTTGAGTCCTATTGAGGGTAAGGGGACTCTTATTGGGGGTAGGGTGAGTTCTGAAGGGGAAAGGGTGAGTCTGGGTGTACAACCACAACACAGGTTATTGGTCACTGCATGATTCACATGACCAGATGTGACTTTGTCTTCAGGTTCATGGTCACTGCATGTGTAACCACAACACCAAAGGTCTGAACTGTGAGAAGTGTCTGGACTTCTACCACGACCTCCCGTGGAGACCAGCCGAGGGGCGCAACACCAATGCCTGCAAAAGTGAGTTTGTTCTGGTCCATACAGGTTTCTGCTGACCTCTGTTTCTGGTCCATACATGTTTCTGCCAACCTCTGTTTATGGTCTATATACAGGTTCCTGCTGACCTCTGTTTATGGTCTATATACAGGTTTCTGCCGACCTCTGCTTATGGTCTATATACAGGTTTCTGCCAACCTCTGTTTATGGTCTATATACAGGTTTCTGCCGACCTCTGCTTATGGTCTATATACAGGTTTCTGCCGACCTCTGCTTATGGTCTATATACAGGTTTCTGCCGACCTCTGCTTATGGTCTATATACAGGTTTCTGCCGACCTCTGCTTATGGTCTATATACAGGTTTCTGCCGACCTCTGCTTATGGTCTATATACAGGTTTCTGCCAACCTCTGCTTATGGTCTATATACAGGTTTCTACCAACCTCTGCTTATGGTCTATATACAGGTTTCTACCAACCTCTGCTTATGGTCTATATACAGGTTTCTACCAACCTCTGCTTATGGTCTATATACAGGTTTCTACCAACCTCTGCTTATGGTCTATATACAGGTTTCTACCAACCTCTGCTTATGGTCTATATACAGGTTTCTACCAACCTCTGCCTATGGTGGTAGTTAAGTTAAAGGTCTTGCTCAGGGACACTTCGACACAGGACATCTAGCAGCCGGGATTCGAAGCACCAACCTTGCGATTACTGGCGCACCCTCTCTAGTCCACGTCACCCCCTAACTTGACTACAGCTCTGTCTACAGATAACTCATGAATGTCATGTTTTCTTCTTCTGTGCTTGCAGAGTGTAACTGTAACCACCACACGTCCTCATGTCACTTTGACATGGCCGTGTTCGTGGCTTCAGGAAACAGGAGCGGAGGAGTCTGTGACGACTGCCAGCACAACACGGCCGGACACAACTGTGAGCGGTGTAAACCGTTTTACTTTCAACATCCAGAGAGGGACGCCAGGGACCCCAACATCTGCCAACGTGAGTCTAGACGTTCTGAGGGTAGTGTTTACTACCAACATCTAGAGAGGTTGATCCAAAATTCGACCAACTTTAGCCCAGGAAAACCCATCATTTTATACCTCAGTTAGGTTCTATCTGTTGAAACCTGTAACTGTTACTGTGTGTTTTGTCCCTCTTGTGCTCCTGTAACTGTGGTATTTTGTCCCTCCTGTGCTCACGTAGCCTGTAACTGTGACTCTGTGGGCTCACTCAACGGCGGTCTATGTGATGGGGTGACGGATGTTCGAGTCGGTTTGATCACTGGTCAGTGCCGCTGTAAAGTCAACGTGGAAGGGGAGCGCTGCGAGCGCTGCAAACAGGCTCACTACGGGATGGGCCCCGAGCCGGAAGGGTGCAAGGGTACGACACCTGAGACACATGAGACACACACCTGAGACACACAAGACACACACCTGACATACATGAGAAACACCTGCACTCAGATACACAAACACAGCACCTGGATGTAAAACAGAGTTCCAGACACAGAGGATAAGATGGTATTTTTTTTGCATAATTGTTGTGTGTATGTATATCTATTTACACATGTGTGTACTTCTGTATTTTAGCGTGTACCTGCAGTCCGCTGGGGACACTTGCTGGAGGAAATCCCTGCGACAGTGAAACAGGAAGTTGTTTCTGTAAACGTCTGGCAATGGGCCGAGACTGTGACCAGTGTGTGGTGAGAAAATACACATACTGGTCACACATTACCAAGAAGTCAATCAAATGATGTTGGGAAGCTGACTGTAAAATGATAAGACGGGAAACCGACTGTGTGTGTGTGTGTGTGTGTGTGTGTGTGTTTTCAGGCTGAACACTGGGGTCTCAGTAACGACATGGACGGCTGTAGACCTTGTGACTGTGACTTTGGAGGAGCCATCAACAACCAGTAAGTTCATATCCAAACTGCTACCAGTTTCTATGGAAGCACAAACAAACTGCATCGGAGCAGATCTACGAATTTATCTATGTTTTATTGTACAACAAAAAATATTTGTAATATCAAAAATTCTAAAATGTCAACACATTGATTCACAAGGGTCAATGTCATGACAGCATCTTGTCACGCTGGTGCATTTTATTTTTTTATTTGTAACTTTTTTATTTTTGTCCGAGGGTGGACTGCACGGTGGTTTGGTGGTGTGTGGTTTGGTGGGGTGGGGGTGTTGTTGGTGATGTGGCTGTTTTGATGTGTTGGTGGTGGGTTGGAGTGGTTTTGATATCAGTGGTGCGGTGCTGTTTGATTCATTTAAAGTGATTAACAGTTTTAGAGGTTCACATTGTGGAACTGAGCTGTTTAAATCTCCAACTTTCCATTACTCTGTAACAGTTCTGGATCATTTTCTCCTGCTTCACTTTTTTTATTCGTTCTCTTCAGTTTCCTTCCTGTTTACAATGTTTCTCTCTTCTTCTTCTTCACTTGTGGTGCTGCAGGTGTGATCAGGTGAGCGGTCAGTGTGTCTGCAGGGATCATATGTTCGGGAGACGCTGCGATCAGGTGGAGTCTGGCTTCTACTTTATTGCTCTGGATCACTACACCTACGAAGCAGAGGACGCAAAGTTTGGACCTGTGAGTAATCTTTTAACTAAGTCTAACCCTGCCACATAGGGAATGCATCCAATGAGTGTCCAGTGCTGAAGTTTCAGCACCACGTGTGATTCATGTCTTCACCTTGTCTCTCTAGGGAGTAACAGTGGTCCCAAGACCCCACCCTCTGGATCGCAATCCCACCTGGACAGGTATCGGCCTGGTTAATGTTCCAGAAGGGGCCTTCCTGGAGTTCTCTGTGGACAACATCCCCCACTCCATGGAGTACAACATCCTCATCCGCTACGAGCCCCAGGTAGCGTACTACAGTATCCCCCACCGAGAACCAATAATGATCAATAAAGGACCATATCTATAACTATCCAACTTATGCGGGTAACCGGAGGCCGGATCTTGGATAGAAAGACGTTGATAGTCAGATCAGACGTGCCAATAATACAAACATAATCACCAGACTAATTGAATAGTAAAGCCTTTTAAAAGTACATGTCTTCTACCCAAGGACAGGTCAGTTTCAACTTTCTATTTAGTTTAGTATGTAATAGAAAGAGCGTATAAAAAAAAAAGATGTGACGTGTTTGTTGGTCCTGAAGCTGCCTGACCAATGGGAGGAAGTTCTGATGACCGTGATGAGACCTGGACCAATCAGAGCAGACAGTCGCTGTGTTAACACCGTGCCCGACGACGACCATCAGATGATCTCACTCCACCCCGGCTCACGGTAACACTTCTATTAAACGTATCTTACATATTGTAAAACCGGGTTACACAATCGAATTTCAGCAAGGTCCAATTAGGCAATCCGGTCCAGAACATCAAATATATGGATAACTTGTTTTGTCAATTAATGCCATACTTAGTAGCCCCACAGTTGTATTAATGTCTGTTTCAATTGGAAAATTGTATGTATACATTTTATAACGAGCATGTCTGGAAGTAGTTTTGGCTCTTTTAGTGAAAAGACAATCTCTGGATCAAGCAATGTTTTGTATGAGTCGATAGTTGAACCATTAACATCCCGGTTCTGTTTCCTGTCTCCTCAGATATGCGTCTCTTGCCAGGCCCGTTTGCTTTGAGTCTGGTCTGAACTACACGATCCGCCTCAGTCTGCCTCTGTACTCGGCCCTCAGTGATGTGCAGTCTCCTTACACGCTCATCGACTCGGTGAGGGACGTCCAGTCATCCATCAGTCGGATCCACAGTGACGCTTTCCGATGTTCTGTTGGGTCCAAACACAATGTCGAGTTCCTTTCAGTGCTACAATAAGATTCTTCAAATTTGTGCGGCCCTTAAATTGCCAACTTATCAAGGGTTTCCCCGAAAACGTGCTTACGCCCTTTTTTCTACCTGCTTTGCCTGGGTTTCCTCAATTGATTCACCTACCGTCTTTCTTTATACCTCAGTTTATCATTGGCTTTTATATTTATTATATAGATATATATATATATATATATATATTTATTGGGGATTTATTGGTTCAGTCTTTAGAGTTATTATGGAAATGTAGAAGGAACTCCACATGAATGCTTTCACTCATAGCTTTCTTCATCCTCAGATTGTGTTGATGCCGCACTGCAAGAACCTGGAGATCTTCTCAACCTCAGAAGGAGGAGACTCCAGTGGGAACAGTGCTTGGGAAACCTTCCAGCGGTACCGATGTCTGGAGAACAGCCAGAGCGTCACCAGGTCTCCGATGACCGACATCTGCAGGAACTTCATCTTCAGCATCTCCGCCATGTTGCACCAGGGAGCAAGAGGTAGGCTCGTACACCGTCAGGGATCTGAATAAAAGTAGGCTGGCCAACCTGCTGACAACTGGCCGGCGAGTTAGCGTGTTAGCTGTTGTGGCTGCTAGTGTTGCCACCAGCGGATAGACAAACTTTGCCATAAATCGTTTTCTGATCTAACTTAAAACCCCTCCAAAGACAACCAGCTGCTCTCTTGGGCACACGTTGTGTTGTGCATCTCTGGTCTCTCTTGTGCATCGCTCTTTTCTGTGTTTTCATCCTCTTGTAGTAGCGGGCGAGCTGAACCCAGCATGACGATGTACACAGTAATTTCATAAATGTACAATTATTAGTGTTACAAATTGTTTATGTGTCACAAGCTGTTGTGGTGTTTCACCCTGTTGAAGAGCGATTGTTGTGTTTTTTTTTATTGTTGTTATAAAGTGATAACCGTGACTCCATCTGAAAACACGTAGGACAAGTAGCTCCGACCGCTGCGCCCTCTGCGACGAGGTGTAAAATAAATTCTGCCAGTCTGTGAACGATGGCATGAAGCGTTGAAGCGCTTTGAGTGGTCTGAAGACTAGAGAAGCGCTATACAAGTGGTCCATTTACCATTTGCTCAAAGGGTCTCATCATCGTCTCTCAGACGAGATCCGTACAGACTGCTTTGTTGTCTTGTGCTGTTGAAGCTGGTTGTTGTCTAACATATCTGTTGTGTTTGAATACATTTCCCAGAATGCCACTGTGATCCTCAGGGCTCCCTTAGCACCGTGTGTGATCCCAGCGGGGGTCAGTGTGAGTGCCGCTCCAATGTGGTCGGCAGGAACTGTGACCGATGTGCTCCGGGAACCTTCGAGTTCGGACCCAATGGCTGCAGAGGTCAGACCCCCGATCACATGATTTATTGATGATAATCATTAATATACGATGTATGAATATATAGTGAACATGTGCTTTGAGAGACTTTCAGAAAAATATTTCAATTGTTGTCATTGTGTGACTGTAGACGGTTTCAGTGTTTGTGGCAAGTGACTTGTATGAGGACCAAGCAATAATTCAGGGAAATAATAAGAATATAAATGATATATTGTGCTTGGTCCCCTGATGATACCTCCCATAATTTCAGTTTCTTGCAGCCATTGAACATCTAGTATATGCTGACTGTATGCTCTCCTTTCTTTGCAGCATGTTCCTGTCACCCTCAGGGTTCACAGAGTTTGTTTTGCAGTGAGCTGACTGGAAAGTGTGTCTGTGTTTTTGGAGCGTATGGCCGGCAGTGTGATCGTTGCCTGCCCGGTCATTGGGGCTTTCCCAACTGCCGACCCTGCACTTGCAACGGACACACCGACGACTGCGACCCCGACACTGGCCGCTGCATCGACTGCCGGGATCACAGCACTGGACACGCCTGTGAAAGGTGAGTTGTGGAAGTCTGTGGACTAGGGTTCTGCGGACTAGTTGCTGACGTATGGGGACGAGTTACAGGGTTCTGCGGACTAGTTGCTGACGTATGGGGACGAGTTATAGGGTTCTGCGGACTAGTTGCTGACGTATGGGGACGAGTTATAGGGTTCTGCGGACTAGTTGCTGACGTATGGGGACGAGTTACAGGGTTCTGCGGACTAGTTGCTGACGTATGGGGACGAGTTATAGGGTTCTGCGGACTAGTTGCTGACGTATGGGGACGAGTTACAGGGTTCTGCGGACTAGTTGCTGACGTATGGGGACGAGTTACAGGGTTCTGCGGACTAGTTGCTGACGTATGGGGACGAGTTATAGGGTTCTGCGGACTAGTTGCGGGTGCCTGGGGACCATTGCAGTGTTTTGGGACTAGTTGCAGGGCTGCACAAGTCTGTTGTATCCAGATTCCTGAAGACTCCACTTAATGAGGTCTCATCATTGGTGTGCTTCACCTGATGCTTTTTAATCCATATCTCACCCTCATCCTTCTTAAATCCTTTATGTTTTTAATGTATACATTTTAATATGATAGTCTGAATACACGTGCCATCCTTTTTGTTTTTTAATGCTGGTCTTCCCGTTAAATTCCAATTTTCTTTCTCTATTTTGTGTAGCCAGAAATCACAAATTTGGGCTTCACAGCCGATGAATAGGTCTTAAACCAGCTGAATGCAGTTCCTTTCAATACCAATCAAATGTTCTAGTTTGCTTTGTAGAAAGTCACACAACTAATTTGAGGAGATCGATCTGTAGTTAGCCAACACCTCTGGAGCAAGAGTAGGTTCCTTAAGAGGTTTAATTACAGCTACCTTGAAGGACTGTAGTACATGTCCTGTCAATAGTGAAGTGCAACAGTGCTGCAGAGAACCCTTTTTCTCTATTAATGATGAGTAATAAGGACAGACTCAAGTTTTCACACAGTCCACTGATATCTTGAGACACGGTACTGAACTTAAAGCAGAAGGAATTACCTCTTTAAATATGGCTACAGCCGTATCCGATAAGCATTGACTGTAGAAAGCCTTGCCAAGAGGAAAGTCCAGTAGTCAAGACAAACACTCAGCGGTGTGACGATGGGACGGAACCAAACCCTCATGCAGTCAGCGGTCCGTCAATATGCAGATTAGGATTGGCCGTTACTCACTTCTGCTTCTGTTCAGGTGTCTGGATGGTTACTACGGTGACCCCCTGTTGGGATCAGGTGACCACTGTCGCCCATGTATGTGTCCTGATGGCCCCGGCAGCTTGCGGCAGTTTGCAGGAAGTTGCTACGTTGGTGACGACACCCAACAGGCCGTCTGCGTCTGCAACAACGGATACAGAGGTCAAATCTAATCTGTTTTGTTATTAACACTGAGTTAAAACTTTAACACCGAGGTAATATGCTATTAACACTCAAGTAAAACTTGATGAACACTGAGATGTATACAGAAATAAAAACCTTTTACATTTAAATAAGTACGGGTTATTTGGAGATGCATTTGAAACACATCAACACGTTGTATTCAACCAATGATCAGTTTGATTCGTTGATGAAACCATCTTTTTATTAAATCAGAAACAGAATGAAGAAGCACCGGATGTGACAATAAATGATGATAAAACAGATGTAAAGCTGCTACGCAGAGTATTATTTTTAGTGAGGTTTAGACTGTTTTGTCGGTTAGTGAACTTTTTATGAAGTAACAAAAGCAGTTTGTCAATTAGACTGAAGAAATCTGATGCAACGTAACAGCTTCAGAACAGGGGACCTGTCGTCTCTGGTAAACTAAGTGTAAGCTCTGAGAGCCGCTGGTCGGTTGAAGTTAAAGGATGTAAGTAGTGGATGTGTCCATGTAGAAAGTGAAGCAAATAGTTGTTCTTTGAACAACTCACTTTAAGCAGATGGATATAGAAATGAAAACTTAACCTGCAATCTGTATAAACTCCTCTCTGCAGGTTCTCGCTGTGACGAATGCTCACCTGGTTACTATGGAAACCCTGGAGACATGGGGGGGCAGTGTCAGCCCTGTCAGTGCAACAGCAACATCGACATGTTGGACCCGGAGTCCTGCGACAGCCGAACCGGCGAGTGTCTGCGCTGCCTTTACCACAGCGAGGGATACGCCTGCCAGAGCTGCAAACACGGTTACTATGGCAACGCCCTGCTGCAGGACTGCCGGAGTGAGTTCACGAGTTTGCGGGACTAAGTCTCCACAAAATACCTTCTTCATAATTCTTTTCTCATAACGGAGCCGTAAAGTGTTGATTTGAAATGAATCGTTGAATCATCAAACTTCGAGTGGCTCCCGAATCTTGACTGAGTAAATACCAACGATCCTCCACAGAATGTGTCTGTAACCAGCTGGGCAGCGACTCCTCCACGTGTCCGTCTTCCGGGGACTGTCACTGTGACCGCAGCAGCGGGCAGTGCCACTGCCTCCCCAACGTAGTCGGCCAGCACTGCGACCTCTGTGCGCCCGACACCTGGAACATGGCGAGCGGCAGCGGCTGTGAGGCCTGCGCCTGTGACCCCAAACACTCGTACGGGACGTCCTGCAACGAGGTGAGGGGCGAGTCATGATGTGAAGCCAGTTCCTCCACTGAGTCGTGTTGACAGGGGGCGTTTGTTCTGTCCACAGATCAGCGGTCAGTGTTCCTGTCAACCCGGCTTTGGAGGAAGAACATGCAGCGAGTGTCGAGAGCTGTTCTGGGGAGAGCCAGAGGTCAAGTGTCATGGTACGTTCACCACACTCCGCTTCCAGTGGGGAAACAAGGGTATTCTTTTTTTTCCCTGTTTGACGATCGTTGATCCGCCACCCCACTGCATCATGGGTACATTCCAAACCCCCGCATCCTCTGCTGTGACTTCTATTAAGTCCAGATGTTCTCCGAGGCCTGACTGTCCTGTCGCCATGGAGACAAGATCAGAAATATATCGGATTCCACGAATATTCCTAAAATCCACAAAGAGGCTTTGTTAATGTGAAGCAGAGCTGAAAGTGGAACTGGTTAGGGGGTGGAAGGTTACATATCTAGCACTACAGTCCGTATCTGGAGATACGTGTCTGTATCTCGGTCTCTCTCTCTCTCTTCCTGTTTTTGTCCCCCTCTGTGTGACTCTCTGTCTGTTGATGGTCTGTTTCATGTTCACAGTGAAGTCATTGTCTGTATCAGTATTGTTGTTCCGAACCGTGCCGTACCACCTTTTGGGTACCCTTCCGTTGGGGTACCTGGCACAGTTGTTTGGTACTAAAGGGTGGAGCTAGACTCACTGCAGAGCGTTGATTGGTTGAAAGAGTGTCGTCATTTGCCGCAAGGGGAAAGACAACACACATATTTTTCCGCCGTGTTTTTCCTTGCAGCATGTAGCCTTTGCTGAAACAAAGATTGTCGTCTCCTTGTGACAAACAGCCACATATCGAGAAGCAAGAACAGGATCGGCTGTATGTCCTCCATTGTTGTTTGCGGTTAGCTTTCAGTTAACTTTCCGTCATATACCACGCCTACCAAGTGACGTTATCGCTACTTTCTGGAAAACACCACGCCTATCAAGTAAGGGTACTGTTGGCGGTGGAAGCCCTCGCCAAATCATGGTTAACAGACCCGACCCGTACCGTACCGCTCGGTGGAACGCGCCATTAGTGATCATGTGATTGGCTAGTCTAGTAGACAGTAATTGGCTGGTGTAGTAGACGGTGATCATGGGAGCTTTAGGAGGCTGTGAGATCACCGGCTTGGTAAACCGTGATGTACACAGTGCGCTGTGACATCACTGGTGGGTGTGGTGTCAGGTGTGAACCTCTAACCCTCTGTGTTTCTGTCCCAGCTTGTGACTGTGATCCTCGGGGAATTTCACAGCAGCAGTGTAACAAAGCCAGCGGCCACTGCGTCTGTGTGGAGGGGGTCTCTGGCCCACGATGCGACGTCTGCAGCCGCGGCTTCTCTGGAACCTTCCCCAACTGCCAGCGGTGCCACCAGTGCTTCACCGAGTGGGATGACGTTATCGGTCAGTTGACCAATCAGACACACCGCCTCGTCAACAAGGTCAACGCCATGAAGGCCAGCGGTGTCAGCGGACCGTACAAGAAGTCCATCGACAGCATGGAGAGGAGCGTCGCTGACATCTGGGTCGTCCTGAACCAGAACCCAGCCTCTCAACCTCTGAGCGAGACCCAAGAGCTGCTGCAACAGGCCAGGTAAGATTATATGTCATTTGAATACTAGACATATAGCAACAGGCCAGGTAAGATTATATGTCATTTGAATACTAGACATATAGCAACAGGCCAGGTATACAGGGGATATAGAAATTCTACACCACATGTTAAATGCCAGGTTTTTGTGGTGAAAAAAAGACACACAAATCATGTCCAGACCTTTTCCACCTTTTTTAATGTGCCCTATGATGTTATGTTTAATGTTGTGATAAATAACATAATAATTTGCCTGCTTGCATGAATATGCCCCCCACCCCTTGTTGAAGCACCTTTTGATTTAAATACAGCACTCTTCATCTCTTGAGTATTTCAAACATGTTTGTTTCCCTTAGTGACCTAATGGGGACCCTGAGCCAGATGTTGAACCACACTGAGCGGACTCTGGTCCAGGTGGAGGACCAGGACTCTGTTGTTGAAACGAAACTGGACTCTGTGATGTCTGATGCACAGAAACTGGAGCGAACTGTTAAAGAGCTGATGGATCAGGTTGAGTTCATCAAGAACTCCGACATCCGAGGTGAGACGGGTTAAAGGTCACTGGTCAGTTTTTTTTGGCATGTCACCAAAATGTTTAAAAAAAAAAAATGTCTTTGGTTTATCTTCTGCCCTGATAAAACATTGGAACCTTTTATATCTTCAACTGGACCAGAGTTCACATAGAAAGATTTACTCAGTCGACTCACTCGCTGATTCTGGAGCTCTCAACCATGCATCTTCAATATAGACCAGAGTTTAACTTCCTTTAACTCGTCACCTGGCTGATGAATATGGCAATGTAACATCCGTGCTGATTGGTGACCGGTCCATCATCGTGAGGTCACCCCTGTGAAGTCCCCTGGGGGTTTAGTGTTTGGGGTGTGTGTGTTCTTGTTTCCTGTGGATCTCTCTTCTTAGTTGTACTCCCTGTCTGTCTCTAGGTGCGACCGATAGCATCACTAGGTACTTCCGTCAGTCTCTGGCGGCTGAAGTTGGAGCGAATGCCTCCACCATCGATCCCGGCAGCCCCGTAGAAACCTCCATCACTCTACGGCAACTCACAGAGGCCAAACTGAACCAAACCAGAGAGGAGTTCCTGAGGAAACACACTGAGCATGCTCGGAGACTGGACGACCTAGCAGGAGAGCTGCAGACTCTGGACCTAGCGGAGATCAGCCACAAGGTAGGAGATGATGGTGTTTAATCATTCCCCCTTTTGAACTTTGTCTCTTCGTTGTGACCTTCACTTTATTAGAGACCGACTTGATAAAGGATAGTTCGTAATGGTAGAGATTCACAGTCTGTCTCAATGAATAGTTCCCTCTGATTAAGAGATGCGCTCGAAGTCATCGCATCCCCACTTTCTTCTATTTTTATATATACAAATCCCCTTTATTCATGACACACACTTTAAATCGTTTAGAGTTTCTACTGACTCCTCCTAAAGGAGATTAACAAACTCTCACAATAACCTCCGCCGCACGTCATTTCCACGCCAATCATGAATACAGATTGCGGGTTTTACACACATACAATATATTAAGCGTCTATGAAAGTATTAATGTCAATCTGCAGTTTAATGACAATTTTATTTTATCATTACTAGATTTGACTATTTCAATAAACACATGTTTTCTCTCACAGACCTGCGGTAGCCCATCATCGGGTCAGGACTCGTGCATGTCCTCTCCCTGTGGCGGTCTGGGCTGTGTGGACTCTGAGGGTCAGACCAGGTGTGGAGGCGAAGGGTGTGATGGCGTAATAACTGTGGCCAGCAACATCTTGAAGAATACCCAAGACTCTGAGCAGGAGATCATCAGCGCCCTGCAGGAAGTGGAGAAGCTCTCCCAGATGGTGAGACTGGCGGGTCCTGGTCTGATCTAGATCGAGTTCAGGTGGACCGGATGTCCTCACCCGTGTGTCGTCCTCAGGTATCAGAGGCCAAAGTCAAAGCGGACGAGGCGAAGCTGAGCGCGCAGGAGGTCCTGATGAAGTCCAACAGGACCAAACAGAAAGTCCTGCAGAGCAACGAGGAGCTGAGAGTCCTCATCAGACAGATCCGGGACTTCCTCACACGTACGTCGCTCACTTCCTCTTCGTGTGACCTTGAGCGGTCCTCCGTTTACAGAAAGACAGTAACAGACAATATTAGAGAGACAATGATAATGTGGGACAAAAATCTCAAGACCGTAAAGAAAATCAACGATAATCAGACAATGATAAAATGTAAGAAGGCAAATAATAATAAAATATAGTAAGATAATAATAGAACAATGATCATAAAGACCATAAAAGGACAATAAGAAAATGTTTAATTATTCTATATGCTATAAACCTCTGTAGCTGATCCAGTTCCTCCCTTATTTTTAGAGGTTTGCATGTGGTTCCACATTATTAAAAAGAGTTCCTTCAGTGACTACTTTTAAAGAGCCATCAACTTTTCTTTTCAAACATCCTGTATTTAGGACCACTAGCTGGTCTGAGCACGGGGGACCAGTCCATCTGATGGTCTGAATAATCTACCAGATGGGAACAAGTTCATGAACCTTCCGCTGTTGACTGTGTTCATATATACATGTGGTGTTTCAGAGGACGGCGCTGACCTGGAGAGCATCGAGCTCGTGGCCAATGAGGTGCTGGCCATGCAGATGCCGACCACACCGGCCCAGCTGCAGAATCTGACAGAGGACATCCGTCAGAAGGTGGGAGAGCTGGGACACGTAGAGGACATCCTGCAGCAGAGCGCCGCCGACATACAGCGAGCCGAGAACCTGCTGGACCAGGCCCGCTTAGCCAGGTGAGTCTAACCGCTCCTACCGGGTCAACCAGGACTGCCTGCCAGTTCATTACGTTAGAACGGGGCCCCTCTCACAGCCTGAAGATGATGGTGAGAATCATTATGAGGAGGGTGATGATGATGATGATGATGATGATGATGGGATGTAACCCATCCTGTGCTTGTCAGTGAGGAGGCAGCAGATGTAAAGGACTCTGCAGAGAAAGTGAAGCAAGCTCTGGAAGAAGCTCAGAAGGCTCAAACCACCGCCAGCAGCGCCATCGAGCAGGCCGCTGCCGACATCCAGAACACCAACCAGCTGCTTTCCTCTGTGAGTAGTGTTTACAATGTTTACTAAATGTTGACATGGAAGAAGTTGAAGGTGACTGTCAATCTCCGTATGGAGGTATGTGCAAACCTGGTCAAGAACTACAGGGAACGTATGATGTCTATAATTGCAAACGCAGATTTCTGAAATAGGAGTTTGAATATGTCCGTGTGTGTGTGTGTGTGTGTGTAAATATGTGTATGGCCAGATCAATGTGTATCTATTCTTCATAATCAGAAATTCAATCAATTGAAGCAGTGAAACATCCAGAAGTTTCTTAAGTGCCAAATAAACTTTATGAACAGCAACGCATCAAGCGGCTATCTCGATGTTCTCCGCAGAGCCAGCGCAGTACAAAAATGTACCACTCAAAAAGGCGCAAGGCTTTCATACACGGACGCTGCCTTTCTGTGCTGCGTTTAGGTGGAGTTGGAGACGTCACATGCAGAGTTGAAGCTGACTAACTCCACCCAGAGGCTGCAGAGGCTGGAGAAAGACGTGTCCCTGCTGCGAGACAAAAGTCTGAACATCTCTCTGAGCACTGAACGCACCAATCAGGATGCAGCGAGCATCAGTAAGGTCGCAGAGGAGGTGAAGGAGGTGAGTTCACCTGTCAAACACTTAATACACAAGGCAGGTCGCTCTGTGAAGAACACTTAAACATTTGTCAATGTCTTCTAGTTTATGTTGATAAGGAGCTTAAAGTGTGTGTGTGTGTGTGTGTGTGTGTGTGTGTGTTAGGACCTGGACTCGGAGCTGAAGGAGAAGTATGCCAAAGTGGAGCAGATGATTGGTCAGAAGGCAGGGGACGTGGTTAATGCAAAGAAGAGGGCGGAGTCATTGCAACAGGAAGCCAAAGAGCTGCTGCTGAAGGCTAGCGACAAGCTGCAGCTGCTCAAAGGTGACTTCTTACAGACATCATAGCGACATCATGACTCCTGTCTCCTACCTAACAAAAGAAAGACTGGAGGCAAACATGGCTCATCAGTAGAGGTTTAAAGTAAAGCCATAATATCACATATATCTGAGATGATTAACTCTGATTTCAGCAACAATCATGGTGTGCTTTCTTAATCTCTGCATGAACATAACATTTACTCCTTTAGTTTTGATGAATTATTTGTATAGCGGCAAGCGAGTTAGCAAGCTGCGTTGCTAATTTGATAATACATTCATGGCAATGTTAGAACTGTGTCCAACAGATCCACCCAACTTTAGTATTAGCATCTTGTTTTCTTTTTATACAGACCTGGAGAAGTCTTACGAGGACAATCAGCGGACTTTAGAGGTAAAGGCGGAAAAGCTGGTGAAGCTAGAGGCGGCCGTGAAGGAGCTGCTTCAGGAGATCAGCAGCAAGGTCACCATCTACTCCACCTGTCTCTTCTAGGGCCAATGGAGGGTTAGAGTTATGGATTCCTTTGTCCAATAAGAAGTGACCTCTTAAGTAACAACCAAAGAAGAGAGACCAAAAATTAAAGACGTTCATTGCGAAACCAAATGATGGTATTTGAAACCAAAGATATTTTAATGATACCACTCTGACAAAGATATTCAATGTTTAACTTGTAGAATGTTTGGTCAGCTGCATTGGGTAGCTTTATATTATGAATCATCAGTTGATTTATGTTCGTGATTTAGAGCTTCGGTAAAGTCTTGTATGTTGTACTACTAGAATCTCATTGGAATACAATCTAAGTAATTAACTTTTACATAGTTATGAAACAGTGAATGTTAACCATGTTACCATACTTTTTAACTTTTTCATTTTGTATTTCCTGTTTCTTTCTACGTTGACAAAACTTTGAACCTAATAAACACTAAAATCACAGTAAGTGCGATCTCATTTTTCATCTTTAGTGCCCGCCAGAGGCAGTGTTTTACACTGGATATCTTCTGTCTCACGCCGGGGCAGGTTGATCATTTTATAGCAACAAACTCACTCGGCTTTAATTTCAATTAAATTCATTTTATATATTATATTTTTGTATAGCCCCAAATTGCAAATTCCACAGCCACCATCACCACATATAACCACCATCCACAGAAACCTGGGGGACTTCAGGAAAGAAGCAAAGCCTGTGATGTTGGTTTATGAAGAAAGTAATGTGATTAATATTTATAATAATAATAATGATGGCAGCAGCAGCTGTTAGCTATGGCAGGAGGCAGGAAGAGCCGAGGGAGAAGAACTGGGAAGAACCGGTGCTGATCGAGAGGCTGAGACACCCCACCCTCACATGCTGCTTCCTGTCAGACAGGAAGTCCGTAATCCACTTGCGGGGTGGAATTGGGCATGTGCAGCTGAGAGAGCTTGTCCTGTAGCAGAGATGCGATGATCATGTTGAATGCAGAGCAGGATACTGGCGTAGGTTCCTGGGGAGTCCAGATGCTGGAGGATTGACAGCATCGTCTACAGACCTGTAGGCGAACTGTAGGGGGTCCAGAAGGCGATCGGTGAGGGTCTGTGGTCATTGAGTCCAGTGGTCCTTGGTGTTTTGGGAATAGGGATAAGGTCGCCAGAGAAGTGTTGAAGATGTCGGAGACAGCTGACACCGGAGACAGCTGATCCCACAGTGCTTCAGAGTGAAGGGGGAGACTCCCCCTTCAGTCCGGCCGGCTCTCCGGGTGATACAAACTCAAAATAACAAGAAATTGCAATTTCATTAAATAAGCAGATTTACAATCTGCTATAGAAAAGAGCCATTATAAGTACCATTTAAGTGCTACGGTTTGTTAGTGTTTTTGGTCGAGGTAGAGTCTGAATAGGTGTGTCTTTAGTTTGCGGCGGAAGATGTGAAGGCTCTCTGCGGTCCTGGTGTCTTCAGAGAGTGTCACGGTTTGGGTTCATGTCCTGTTTTTTTATTTTGGAGTTTCTGCTTCTTGTCTCCCCGGGTAACTTCACTTTTACATTACATGTCATTTAGCTGACGCTTTTCTCCAAAGCGACTTACAATAAGTGCATTCAACCATAGGGTACAAACTCAGAAGAACAAGAAATTGCAATTTCATTAAATAAGCAGATTTACAATCTGCTATAGAAAAGAGCCATCAAGGACTCAGCTGAGTTTTTTTTGCCGGACCCAGTGTCATTTTTGCCACCCTCCGATCACCACGTTGCCTCCACCTCCGGAGGCAATCTCCTGTTCTTCGGATGGCGGATCGCACTGGGAGCGGGTGATGGACCTCGCGGTCCAGCTCCAGGCCTCCTACGCTCTCCACGCTGGGCCGCAGCGCACCACGTCCCGCGCTGGGCCGCAGCGACCTCCTGATCCGGACCCACGACTCCAGGCCCCGACTCGGCCAGTCCCGGCCCCACGACTCCTGACCCCAACGCCTCCAGTCCCCGCTCCCCGACTAAGGCCCCCTCCCCCCCCATACCGTGGTCCTCCCCTCCCCTTGGTGATCTGAGGGCCGTCTGGGATCTGGCCCTTGAGGGGGGGGCTCTGGCAGGGGTTGGACTGGCGTCTCGGTGCCCAGCCCCCCGGTTTTTAATGTCTCTCGGCCAATGTAGATGGTTATATTACGTATTTCATGCACGCATTAGCTGATCACATTACATTTAATGCAATTATATTTAAGCATTGTTACTTAATTGATTTGTCTTTAGAATTAGTTCTAATCTATTGGCATTACATCGTTCTCTTTATTGGTTACATAAAGCCATCAGAAATTCAACTGTTCACTAGTGTTACACAACATGCATTTCTTTTGATTAGATAACTCAAGAAAGTGGATTAATAGTTTTTCATATCCTACACAGGCAATGTTAGACATTACAATGGTGCTAAACTGCCTAACAACAATTCTGAAAATAGTTATAGCCATTGAAATGTCCAGGATTCCACACTGATACATCAATAACTAATAAGAAAATGTAGCAATTTTTGTCAGAAGGCCAATAAAATAGCATTGGACAATTAGCTCCAGAGTAATTAGAAACATAGGATAGACACCAATAATACTGTAAGCAGAATATAACATGGATGTTGGCAGTGAAAAGAGAAAAGTTGTCATTTAACAAACAGTGAGATTCTTTCTTTCTTTTTGTGTGTGAATTTTCTCCAGGAAAAGAGAACTCTTTGTTCTGATGACTACAGGAAATCAGTTTCTGCGAAGAAGCTGCGGCCTCTGCGCCTGTGTGTGTGTTACCATAATGTTCTAATCTAGCAGGAATTTGGGGCCGAAGGAGTGGACTGAATATAAAAACAGTGCATTGAAATTAGGAGCAGCAGAGAACTGGAGACTCCGGAGGACAACAACAGACACTCAGAGAGACAGACAGAAGACAGGGGAGATAGGTGCATAGACAGCTGCAGCCATGGCGAGCAGAAAAATGACCTTTTTCGAGATGTGGAGGAGCAAGAAGGAGAGAGGAGAGCTTCGAAGAAGAACCAACCAGCTGAGACTTGATCCTTCACAGATGTGAGTTTCCTTTAAATATAGAACCCCCTCTGCTTTATTATGAGAGTGATGGTCACATGACCTCTGTGGAAAACATCATGGGGTCAAGGAAAGATGTGTAGGGGAAATTCATGAGGAGATAAGGGAAGGAAAACCGCTGTTTTGAGAAATCCGACTCCACTTCCACTCAACGACAAAGTTCTGATGGACTGAGACGCATAGAAGATGCTACAAAGAAGCATCTTCTATGCCTTCATGTGTTGTTACAGTGCTGCTGATTCATGCGGACGACACAAACAACCAGGTTCAAGCTTTTCAAGAAAACCAGTAACTGCCTTACATATGGTTAATTGTAACTGGAATATGATGCAATCTGCCTCTGAGTCTGTGCCTGTGTCCTCGTACTTCTTATTGCTCTAAAGTGACGTAAATGGAGTTTATTGAAACTTTGCTGCAGTGTTTCAGGGTATCTGTGTAGTTTTTTTGTTTGTATCATATTCATTCTGAATCAGGACAATGTTGAAGTTGCCCCTTTGTTCGGTCTGTGTTCACACTGCGATATTTAACAGTGGACTAAATATTGGAAACAAACACCACGCGTGAGCAAACTGTTCTGCCGTTGGTCCAATTTTAATGCAGCTATAAATAGATGTTTCTTTTTTAATTGGGGGGGCATGAATCCAGTTGGCATTTAGAAGGGGGTGTGTGGCCTAAAAGGTTTGGGCACAGTTGCATTAGGGAATTCAAACCGCTCTTACAATACTTCCAGGTCATTTCACGCAGTTAGGAACATTCCTAAGCAAATTTGACAATTCAAATCCAGCCCGGAACTGGGATTATCCACGAAGTCTCTACGAGGTAGTGGTTCTTCTTTGGAGGTCCTGAACTGGTATCCCTCCTCGTGTACACCCAGGAGCCAATTGCTTGGCGACACCGGAGTTCGGAGAGCGCTGCAGAATAGCAGGATAGAGGGTCTGCTTCCCCCCATTGGTATGGAGGTCTTCAGACGTTTGACTCCAGCTTCACTTCGGTGGATCGAACAACCGCATGAAGCTGAGGAGATGGCGCTGGAGATGAGCGAGAGGAGCGAAGAGGTGCTGCACATACACATCAGCTTTCAGCTATTAATACCCAGGAGTCAATAGTTTAGACCTGCTGCTGATCAATGCCTGGAGAAGAAAGACTAATAAATGGAATGCACAGATCTCGTATATTTTAATTTAAATATATCGAAATCTATTATATATAGAATCATAATCAGTATCAGCTTTATTGGCCATGCATGCATACAGATTGTTTGTTTGTTCTCCACACACTGTTTTACAAATAAACGAGAACAACACTTGAGTGCAATAATCAAAATGTATATACGAGATTCAAACCAAATCTTCCTCTCTGATTGGCAGGTGACAGAGAACAACATGCCTAAACAAACCAGTGACCTGGAGACTGGGAAGCCCCTCCCAATTTTCTTTGGGGACCCATCCCATGACCTTCTGAACACTCCATTGGAGGAGTTGGATCCCTTTTACGAATCACAGAAGGTCTTTCTTTCTTTGATAGAGTTCTCAACAAAAGATCAAAAAGTGATGGAAACATCTCCTGAACTCGTATTGTTTAGACAAGCCTGACCTCTGACCTGTCTGTTTCTGTTCCTCTGACCTTTCTGTATGTTTCTCTTTGCGCTTCTCTGTCTCTCTCTGGAATGTCTCTCACTTACTCATCTCCTGTCCGTCTCTCTGTCTCTGTCTCCTGTCCGTCTCTCTGTCTCCTTCTGTCTCTCTGACCTGTCTGTCTCTCCCTGAAACTCTTTGACCTGTCTCTCTTTGACCTGTCTCTCTCTGCAGACATTCATTGTGGTAAATAAAGACAACATAGTTCACAGGTTTAATGCGGAGCAGGCCTGTTACCTGCTGAGTCCGTTCAACCCGCTGAGGACCGCCGCCATCAGGATTTACCTTCACTCATATCCTTTGTGATTACACCCTCTGCTGTTCCTGTACTGTTACGCTTTCATAATTCTCACTTGTAGCGTAGGTTTGCTTCTTAATCCAGAGGATACGTTGGGCGCCAGACAGGCAAATAATCTACTTTATAGGCAGCCCACCATAGTCCAGCCGGTTCTCTCCCTCTGACAGTGTTCTGCAGTTCCTTTGCTTTATCACTCTCTTATGGGACCCGAGGTAGAGAAACCAGAAATCTCCTCAGCTTGTTGTCCAATTTCCTCTCACCCACCCCTCTCAACTCTCTGCCATGAGACCTCTGGCAGTTGCTGATCCTCCATTACAGGTGTGCCCAATGTTCAGAGCCTTCCTTGCCCCGCTTTCGTTTCTGTCAGGAAAGGGCAAGTCGGCAAACTTTGTTCTGCTACACATACTATATATATACTTTCAGACAAAACTCATAATACACTGAGACTGAGAGTTTTTCCTTAACTCCTCAAAACTTTATTCAATTTCTTCATTTTGGTAACAATCCTGACCAACTGTGTGTTAATGACAATGTCTGATCCTCCAGCATGGTTCAAGGTTGCGGAGTGAGTAAAACACACACACACAGACGCCGACACACACACACACACACACACACACACATACACACACTATGACATATTTGAGTGTTGAATTGAATCTATAGTCTCAAAGCTTTTGAATAACTGCCAGGACACAAGTTGAGCTCTAAGGCTTGCAGGTGCAGACTGGGAGCTGTGATGTTGAGCTATAGGGGTTGTATGGCAACAGATAATATTGAAGACATCTATAAAGGAACACCTATGGAATTATGTGTTAAACAAAGCAGAATATGTTTTCTATTTTGGACCTTTTTTTTATGACAGCTTTGCACCCTCTTGGCCTTCATTTAACCAGCTCCATAAAGTAGTCACCTGGAAAGTTTTCCAAAGGTTTTGAAGGACTTCCAGAGGTTCTGAGACCTGGTTGGCTGCTTAGGCTTCACTCTTCGATCCAACTCATTTGTTCCTTCATAGTTTTGATGTTTTGAGATGTGTAGTTCCTACATCTTTTGTTTGTTGAGATGTGTTAAGTACTCCTCTTTTGTACGCCATGCTAAATGCTATCCTGAATGCTATATAGGGTCCAACTTTACAACAAGAACAATCTATTTGAAATGCCTGTCAGTGCTACATTGAAACATTTGTGTTCTTTCCATCCGGAAACAGACGCGTGTTCACAACCATCTACATGTTTGAAGTCATCATAAAGGTTGTTTCCAGAGGCTTCTGTTTCGGGAAATTCACCTTCCTCAGAGATCCCTGGAACTGGCTGGACGGAATGGTGATAAGTACAGGGTACGACAATGTCCAACACACTTTCAACACCAACTTCATAGAGATTAGAACAAATAATTGTTGTTGTCATTGTCATACCACAAATACTTCCATCCAAGAGTACTCACCACTGCCTGTCGGAGACATTACATTATATGTCATTTAGCTGACATGTGTGACATGAGTGGAGAGAGCGGGTCAGGATGTCGGGTCTGACCATGTCCTGGATGTAAGGTGGACCCGATCCATTCACAGCATGAGCACCATTGTATGAGAGCACCAATGTTTAGAACTGGATGCGGGCAGCCACCGGTAGCCAGTGAAGAGAGCGGAGGAGTGGAGTAGTGTGGGAGAATTTCGGAAGGTTAAAGACCAATCGAGCTGCTGCATTCTGGATGAGCTGCAGAGGTCGAATGGCGGTGGCAGGGAGACCAGCCAGGAGACAGTTACAGTAGTCCAGGCAGGAGATGACAGGAGTCTAAATCAGTACCTGCGCCACTGTCAAGTGTCACGCCGAGGTTCCTAGACACGAAATAACTACAGCTAGTTGGGCGAGTAAAGCATTGTGAAAAGTCACTTCACTTTTGATGTGAATGCAACATCAGGTTTTCACACGTTGTAAAGTACTAACAAAAATACTTGTGATAGTAAAACATATCTACATATATACATTTCAGCTTTTTAAACACTTTTCATACATAGTTCTGATTGTCCAACAGCAGACACGTGTATCTCGTTGAAGTCATCATTCATCCCTTTGTGGTTGCCATGGTGATGATAATTATCATATATTTCAGATTCCTGATGGAGTTTATAGACTTTGGCAAAGTTTCTGTGCTGGCGACAGTTCCTCGAGTCCTGAAAATCTTTGCAGTCATCCCAGGTCAGTGTGTGTGCGCGTGTGTGTGTGTGTGTGTTCTTGCTCTGTATGTTTGTTTCAGCCACACACAAATCAAAGGTGCAATATTTAATGTGTGGTTGATTACATCTTACTTTAACATACATCTTGACTACAGTGTGATACTGAGGTGATACTGAGGCATACTGTCCCCTTTAGTAATCTGTGCCTCTAGAGGCAACGGTGAGTCACTGCAGTCTTTAGTCCAACATGAGAGGACAAAGACGCAGAGCTGAAAATCACGTTCAGTCAAAGTCATTTTCTTTCCTCCTCATTGCTGCTACTTTTCTGGCAGCAAGAAAGGCGAAACAAAAACTATTAAAAACGCATCGCTAACGTAAGCTTTTGTCCATAAGGGAAGATTGTAAAATATTATTCTGATTGGCAGTTTGGTTGGATCTTACGTATTCTTGTCCAGCTGTGTGCTTGTAGTTGGCTTTATTTCATAACCAATGACTGTACATTTAGATGAACTAGTCTAGAGGAGCACGTAGTCAGATGTTACACTGTTTTAATGGGTAACGACTAGGCAGTTTCCATGAATGCTCACATAGTCAGTTTTTCATCCACTCCTTTTCCAGGTCTGAAAACGTCTGTTGGAGCTCTCGTCCGATCGCTGAAGAGACTCCTTAATGTCATCGTTCTGATGCTACTCTGCCTCAGTGTCTTGGCTCTGATTGGTCTGCTGCTTTTCGTGGGGGATCTGAAGAGGAAATGTGTCATTTGGCCCAGTTATGAGATCGACAACTACACCGACTACCTTCAGGACCATGGTGTGATGAAGATGATGATGATGATGTTTCGATAAACAGTGTTGTCAGATCCCTAACTTTCAGCTGATGTCTTTGTCTGTCCCTCTGACAGTGAACTACTACTACCGGTCAGGTTCACTCGACGCTCTGCTGTGTGGAAACACCTCTGATTCGGGGTAAGCTCACAATAACAGGGACCTAATAACAATGAGAACTGATGATAATGGTTGGGATGATGTGTTTAGGCGGTGTCCTGAGGGCTACACATGTCTGAAGGCAGGAAACAACCCAAATTATGGCTACACCAGCTTTGACTCGTTTGGTTGGTCTCTGTTGTCTGTGGTCCGACTGATGAGCAAAGACTACTGGGAAAACCTGGTGGAAATGGTCAGTAACCATGGCAACATATATAAATGATACATGCTTATAATGCACATTGGTTATATGTTTAGACAACATTTGTCAATTAAAAAGTAATAATCATGTCATGTAACACACATTAAAGAGTAGGGAAGTTGTGAATCACCCTAAAGCTCTCTCTCTCTCTCTCTCTCACCTGTCTGTTTGCAGACGTTACGAGCAGCAGGTAAACGCTTCCTGACCTTCTTCATGCTTGTCGTCTTCCCCGGCTGCTTCCACGTCCTCAGCCTTGCCGTGGCGGTTGTTGCCATGGCCTGCTGTGAGCAGGAGGAAGCTGCCGTAGGCCAGCTCAAACAGAGAGAAGGAGAGTTTGGTCAGATCCTGGAAGCCATAAAGAGGAGCGAGGAAGACGAGGTGAGATCATTTCAGTTTTTCATGTTGTTCATTCAAGGAAAGCTTTTATTTAAATGTGCTGCTGTTAAATCAGGGAGCCAGCAGGGCGGCGCTCTCACCAGAGCCTGAGAAGAAGGAGAGCGTGGAAGGTACACACGCACGCACGCGTTCACACACATTTTGAATACTTTAATGCTCACTTCCTTTCCCTTGTCTCAGAATAAAAAATGAGTCCACATTAACACAAGCTCAAGACATTTTTAATATTCTTCTCCTTACAAATATCCCATTGGCGCCATTGAAACAGAAGCCATTTATTGCCACATGTGTTACACACAGAGGAATTTGACATGATGAATTGGTGCCATATAAGAATAAGATTCTGTGATTTAAATATCCTATTGACGTCCCTCTCCACTTTCCAGAATACAAAGAGGCGTTAATGTGATGGGCGTTGTGGGGGGTTGTTGGGGGGCATATTGCGCTGGGTTAGGGTGACTGGTGGCTGTGGGATTCAGCTTGTTAACCAGACTAATGCCGACTTCCTTCAAATACCTGTCAGCGCTGCAGCACTCGATCCGCTGTGTGTTTCAGGCCCGGATCGGGACCAGAGGGCGTGTTCTCCATGCAAGTCTGCTGACTGCCTCCTGAAGTGGAACTGTTGCGGTTGTTGCCGGTGGATCAAACAGCGGCTGAATATCTTTATCTCAAGCCCTTTCTTTGATCTCGGGGTCGTCATCTGCCTCGTCCTCAACATCATCTTCATGTGCATGGAGCATTATCCAATGACAGAGCGCTTCTCCAGGGTGCTGAATGAAGCACATCTGGTCAGTATATATATCATATACTGTATACCTCCATATAATCCGTCTGAGCAGGTATATGATAACTTTATATTAACATACTTTATTCTGGATCAGTTTAGGTTAGTTTAGGTTTAGGTTCATTACTGCTACTCTGACTTTCACCTCTGATTGTAGTTTTTCAGGACAAGAATAACCAAAAACAAGAATAATTCAAACTGTTGATGGAGAAATTGTCCCGGAGTTTCAGTTAAATTCAGACAAGACCCATGAAAGAATCAATTATAATACAGAGTCACAATGAGCCATTGCCTTCAATTAAATGTACAACCAAACATGACCTTTCACCTCCTCCCTCTGACCCATGACCTTTTGCAGGTCTTCACATTGATTTTTGCAGCTGAGATGTTCCTCAAACTCATAGCCATGAACCTGGATGGATACTTTCGGGTCAGACTTCCTGTTTATTACCAGCTCAAGGTTGATGACTGAAAGATGTTTCCAGGTCAACGTGCGTCTGTGGTCATTGTTACAGGTGGGCTGGAACATCTTTGACAGCCTCCTCGTCGCTATCAGCCTGCTGGAGCTGTTGATTGTGGAACATCTTCCATGTGTTCTTATGGTCAGAGTGACATCCTCATTATATCTAAATGACCAATTTCTTCAAATAGAAGTGTTTTAAATGGTCTCCTGTGCAGATGCGAGTGTTCCGGCTGGCCAAGTGGTGGCCGTCCTTCCGCATGTTGATAAAGCTCATCTGGACCTCGGTGAGGGCTCTTTGGGACCTGACTCTGGTTCTGCTCATCATGGTCTTCATGTTCAGCGTGGTGGGCATGCAACTGTTCCAGCAGGATTACAAAGACAACGTCTGTCGCATCTCAGTCGACTGCCACCTTCCACGTTGGCATTTCAATAGCTTCTTCCACTCCGTACACGTCATCATCAGGGTCCTGTTTGGAGAGTGGATCGAGGTCACGTGGGACTGCATGGAGGTCTCAAGTCGGACCACGTGTCTGATCTTCTTCCTGATGGTCGTCGTCATAGGGAACTTGTTGGTGAGTCTTGGCAGGCTCACATATTTTGACCTGAGCCTGAATCTGGATCTCACAGATCCTTGTGGACAGTAGGTCAGCTGTAGCCATAACAGATTCATGTCAAAACTCAAAGGTTTGGGATTGTGGTCTTTCGAGTTTCAGCCCCTGAATCTGTCTGCTAGTCTTGTTTCGCGGTCTGATTCTGTTCCTGGTCTGGTTTCAGCCCCTGAATCTGTCTACTAGCCTTGTTTCGGGGCCTGATTCTGTTCCTGGTCTGGTTTCAGCTCCTGAACCTTTTCGTGACATTGCTGCTGAGTTCGTTCATCACAGAAGCAGAAGAAAAAAACAACCTGCAGATCGTAATAACGCGGATCAACAGGACTTTGGGGAATTTGCTACGAAAGAAGACACAGCTCAACCCAGACCAAGCAGGTAGGACCAGACCTGGAACTAGAGCACACAATTTACGAACACATTTATTTGGTTGACGATATTAATGGTTGATTTTTCCTTTGTTTTATTATGATCTTTTGTTTTAGTTATCTTCTATTTACTCATTTTTGTGTTTCTAATTTGGTATTTTCTGGTTTGTTCTTTTTTTATGTTTCTTTTATCTTGAGATGAAACCTTAATAAGTGTAGACTGAAAGTTATGTGTAGTTGTTAAATGTAGTTTACAATAAACTTCAGATTTTAGGTTTGTGTAATTTACTTATTTTTTATTTATTTTTATTTTATCGGCATAAGCAGACAATGAGAAAGTCCCCAGGAAGAAGTATCTGGACTCTGCGGCCTCACATGAGCTGGTGTTAGAGGTCCAGGACCGTGGACACCTGACGAGCGAATCCTGCAGGGCCCCCACTGCCGAGGCCGAAGAAACTGCTGAGGATGACGAAGAAACAGAGATAAAAGTGAGCCATTTTTAACTTTCAATACAGTTATGTTAAACTGATAATGTATTCAGTCTAACAATGTCAGAGGGATGGGATAAACAAAATGATAAAACTACAATAAACAACAACACTAAATACATTATACAATACATAGTGTGTTTATATTTCGCTACCTTCACGTTTCTCAGTAAACATTGTTTTTTTTAGTGCCTCTGTCCTGGTTGTCCACATGGATACTACAATAATTGCAAAGTCAAAGTGAATGCAGGTTATAGGAAAAGCTGTTAAGAAAGCTCATTACAGAAAGGTAGCGCAGAAATGATGTGGCTTGACACGGATAGGAACCTAAATTATGTAAATTATTATACACTTGGAAGGAACTATTAAACCAGCGACCTGATGAAGTTGGGGGGGTGGACTGGATAAGACGAGCTGCACCGTTATTTACTGCCGTCATGTCTTCATTGTTTGTTAAGAGATATCCTGAAGACAGCAAGGAGCAGAATGGAGACACACCGAAGGACTGCTGCAGCAACGGTAGGAGTCATTTCTGTGAAAGTGATGAAAAGTAGGAGCCCATCAGTGTCAATAACTCTCTGTGTGTGTGTGTGTGTGTGTGTGTGTGTGTGTGTGTGTGTGTGTGTGTGTGTGTGTGTGTGTGTGTGTGTGTGTGTGTGTGTTTCTCGACATAGATGGCACAGGGAGGGTCTGGTCTAATCTCAGGAGAGCCTGTTTCTCCATTGTGCAGCACAAATGCTTTGAGTACATCCTCCTCATCATCATTCTGCTGAGCAGTGTAGCTCTGGTAAATACTATGTAATATCTTATCACTAATATTCTGGAAAATACAAACATCAAATGTTTTATTTTGTCATCATTAATATTCTGCTAAATACAAACATAGGATGTTACATTGTTATTATTAATACTAGTACAGACATTTAATCAGTGTGTTTGAAAACCTTCACACAATTGGTCAGGTTCTAACTTCAGAGAACCTTCATACATCTGGTCAGACTCGTACATCACTGTGTTTGTGAACAGGCCTTTGAGGACATCCACCTGCAGCACCGTCAGGTGTTGAAGACGGTTGTGGCGAGAGCAGAACAGGTGTTCACTTGTCTCTTTCTCGTGGAGATGATTCTCAAGTGGATCGCCTTCGGACTGAAGAAATACTTCACCAGCACCTGGACCTGGATTGACTTTCTCATTCTACAAGTAAAAATAGATTAAAAAAAAGATCCATAATCCTGATTATTGGTAATATATTGATGAGTTATCTTGTCCCACTACAGTATTTACTTCTGTTTTGCCATGTATTCTTAATTTGATTCCGGTTTATAAGTAAAAACAGGTGAAGTTGAAAGTATATCAAATAATTAATGATAATAATTTGGTCCCAGCATAGTTTCTACTCCTGAGAACTGGGTAATTATCTTTCAGCTGAGGCTTGAATCCAAAGCGACTTACAAGCATAGTAGAGGGAACAGAGCCAGAAAAACAAGAATAAAGAAAGTACAATTTCTTCATGACAGCCAAATTACAGAAGGTTAATCTGCTCTCAGTTTCTCAGCGTGATGTTATTGGTTGAGCTAGTCACAGTTTTGACGTTAACAAATGTTCTCTTCCAGGTGTCTGTGGTGTCTCTGGCAGCTGACAGATTTGGATTCTCTGAACTGGGAGTCTTCCAGTCTTTTAGGACTTTGAGAGCTCTGGGTCTTCTGAGGGCCGTTTCTCGTGTCCAGGGCCTGAAGGTGAGACTTCAAAGACAGACATGTAGACAGACGTGACAAAGACTGACAGTGAGACAGTGATACCCGTCCCCTCTCCTCCTGTCTGTGTGCAGGTGGTGGTGCAGGCTCTGGTCCGGACCGTCCAGTCCATGTTTGACCTGCTGCTGGTGGTTCTGGTCTTCTGGTTGGCCTTCAGCATCCTGGGAGTGAATCTGTTTGGGGGAAAGTTTCATTACTGTTCCAACGAGACGTCACAGGAAATAATTTCATCTCTGTATATAGCCAACAAGTCTGAGTGCCTCTTACTGAGCATGGAAGAAGATTCCCCTGACATCCTCTGGAAGAGCACCGAGCTAAACTACGACAACGTGTTGAGCGGTTACCTGTCGCTGCTGCACCTGGTCAGTTCGAACACAATAGTCTGAGAACAACTAAATGTTTCTAATAGCGCTGGGAAATGATTACAATTTTTAAATCACAAATAATCACATGATTTGTGCGATTAACCGCAAAATTCATTAATCACCTCAAATAAAGGATATTGTGCTCTTTTATTCATGCGAACACTTGAAGCAAATATAGCTTGTTATCAGCAGTATTCCCTTTACAAAGTGGCACTTGGCGGGATAGCTTACCGACAACACAAGACAATCTGGCAGGGAACAATAGAAAGTGACGGACTTACAAGGTGAGTGGCTGATGAGGGGATGTGCTGCTAGTGAGAAGGGCAAGAAGAGCCAGGCAAGGGTGGTGACCTGATAATGTGAGAGGATCTGAAAACATGCAGGTGAGATCCAAACAAACTAGGATTTTGTCAAATGTGTGACAGCAAGTTAATATTTCAGAATCTTTTCTTTTACAGGTACCAGCAGAAACATGTTTCTTTTACTAGGGAGCAGCATAAACAGTCTCAGTTTTAAATGTTGGTACCTTGATGCTCATAATGCTTATTGATAAGTATAAGAAGCAGTACATGGGGGGGCTCAGGACCCAGGGGGTATTCAGGTGAGGGGAAGAACCTGGTTTGTTCTCACGTCGTGATGGTATTTAAAAACACGACAGTAGTGGTTATTAATAACTTTCTCCATTTCAATGCCCTTCATGTGAGCTTGAAGAGCAGTCTTAGGCCCGACGCGTGATGACATCAAATAGTGATCCACACCAGTTGAACAATCTGTTGAATGTGTTGATATCCGTAACATTTCTCTCAGACAAATCTTGCCCAATTTTGTAAAAACTTCACGTTCCCACGTTCAGCTAGTTCAGCTTCAGCTTAAGCTTCAGCTTCAGCTTCACTAGCTTCACTAGCTTCAAGCTAGTTCAGCTTCACCCTATCAAAGTAAAACCTTCCATGATTACCGTCCACACAGTGGACTATGACTTAGATGAGTTTTTACCCTTGAATCTCTATGTTTTATAGGGCTGGATACCCTGTTGTTAGTGATTTTCTTTCAGTCGATTCTCAAAATGTGAAGGTTTTATGTGTGCCATAATAATTTATTTCTTCACCAGTATATAAACTAATATTTACACATCAGTTAGGTGTCACATCAGGTGTTCCCCAGCCAAACTTGTCTTAATGAAGCCCTTCTGTGTCCCTCTGCCAGGGCCTATCAGCAGACTGCGTGGACGTCATGTACGCAGCTGTGGACGCCACATGGGTCAGTACAGCAACTGCTCGCTCCACTCTAATTAAATCACTTCTACTGTAACTGAAGCTGTGTGGAGGGGTTGTGTATATTAGTTTGTGTGTGTTTTGGAATGGGTTTCTGTGTGGGTTTGAGTTACTAGTGTTTTTCAATGTTTGTACAGCACAGGACATCCTCTTTCTCTGGACTCTCACATCTGTACAGGAAACCGCCCCCCCCGCAAGAATACCAGAGGAGGGATCCGTCTATCAGGGGGGACAGAGGAGCAACATCTGCTGCTCTTTTGTCCCTCCTGATGGACGGATCCTTTTTGTGTTGAAGACTCTTTTGGGGGGGACTATTTCCTGTACTGAGGGTCAAAGTATGACTAATGTGTACAGATTGTAAAGCCCTTTAAGGCACATTAGTCATTTTGAGCATTATATAATAAATTAAAATAAAATAAAGAGGTCATGTGTTAGCTGAATTGAACAGCAGTAGTTGATTTAATAGAATAACACAAGCATATAAGTACATATGTACACACATACATGTGTGTACATATGTACTTAGTGGTTACAAATACTTTTGCTTTTATCGACTACGCCGTCTGGTAGAGATTGCAAATGAAAATGTCCATTTAACAGAGCAGTACCTTTTTCCATTTTCTCGGTTAATGTGTGCAGCAATGTTAAGCCCAAATATATACATACCGGATGGTTAGGGCATGGTTATGGAAATTAATGCAATGTTATATCTTCTAAAGTGACTGAAACAAAACTCGGTGTGTGTCTGTGTGTGTAGCTGGAGTCCCAGCCAGTCTTTGAGTACAACTCGTACATGTACTTGTACTTCATCTGTTTCATCATCGGCTCCTTCTTCACTCTCAACTTATTCATCAGAGCCGTCATTGACAACCTGCATAGACAAAAGATGAGTCTTTATATCTTCATAAGTAGACACATAGACAGAGACACAGATTTTACTCTGTCATTTACAATTGTCTTCACTGTTATCTTTACTTTTGTCTTTATATTAGTATTTACTTTTGTCTTTACTTTTGTCTGTACTCTTCAGGGAATCAGATCTTTATAACCAAGGAGCAGCACAAATATTGCATGTTTGTAAAGACGCATATGATGAAGCCTCAGGAACCTTTTCCCCGCCCTCAGGTTGGTTCACATGGTTTTCCTAATATTCAGTTGGTACGGAGCTATAAAGTCATGACAAAGGATTAACTCGGACTTAACCTAGAATAAATTCACAATAAACTAAATAAATCAACAATAAACTGTTAATAAATACATAGTAAACTTTACTAAATTCATAATAAATTCATCAATTAAATTTAACAAACTGAAGATTTTCAGATTTTATATGTACAATAAGCTGGTTTCTATGTGTCGTGCAGCTCTGACATTCTCCGGTTGTTTCCTTGTGTAGAATTGCTGCCAGGCTCGGCTCTTTGACCTGCTGACTAAGCGGCCTTTTCAAGTCCTGATGGCGGTGGTGGTCTTCCTGAACATGGTGACCCTGATGGTAGTGACGGACCAGGAAACCATGGAGTATGAAGAAGTTCTGCCCTGGCTCCACCTAGTCTTTCTCATCATCTACACCATTGAGTTCATTCTGAAGCTCATTGGGCTCAGGCATCACTACTTCACCAGCGGCTGGAACATCCTCGACTTTGTGGTGCTCATCTTCTGCATCGTAGGTGAGTCACATGATGTTTTTCACCATTCAGAGTGGAAATGTACCAAGCAACCTTTTGTCCAGGTATATTGATTGATTGATTGGTTTATTGATTAGTTGGTTAATTGATTGGTTGATTGCACAGATGTTATGATTGTTCGTTCAGAACAGCTTAATGTACTTTTCCATCAAGCAGAGTTGGTGATTTATTTATGTAGGAAATAAAATCAATGGAAAGTCCAGCAGTTGTACCTTTCAACATCATTGTAAATCTACAATGCCTTTGGTGAAGTGAAGCTCAAGAACCCAAAATCTCTCTCCGTCTCTCTTTAGGCATCTTTATTGGTGAACTCTTTTTTTATTCTCCTCTCTTCACTGTGCTGCGAGTGGTTCATATCTTTCGCATCCTCTCCTGGGTCACGGGCATCCGAAAGCTGCTTAATGCCTTTATGATGTCACTTCCTGCCCTCTTCAACATTGGGCTCCTCTACGTCATCCTCATGTTCATCTCCTCCCTCTTCGGCATGTTGAACTTCGGCTATGTGAAGAAGGATGTCAGGATGGACGACATGTTTAATTTTGAGACGTTTGGGAGTAGCGTGATCTGCTTGTTGATGATCACTACCTCAGCTTCATGGGGAGGGTTCCTGACTCCCATCATGAGCACGCAGCCAGACTGTGATCCCGATATGGGGAACCCAGGATCCACCACCAGGGGGAACTGTGGCAGCCCGGCAGTCGCCATTGTCTTCTTCATCACCCATATCTGCCTGACGTTCTTGCTGGTGGTCTGCCTGTACCTCACCATCATCCTGGAGACCTTCAAGTCCGAGGACGGCGAGCCTCTGAGTGAAGATGACTTTCAGATGTTTTATAAAACCTGGAAGAAGTTTGACCCAGAAGCCTCGCAGTTCATACGGTACAGGTGAGTTCAGACCTAAAGTGCAGTTTTCCAAACTCCTAAAAGTACTGGTGAGTAAAGACTAAAGTACCGTTGAGGCCTTCTGGCTAATGTCCCAGAAGTTCAGGATGTGGCCCAATGGCAACCACAGGACCAGAATCAGGTGCAGAACAGTCTGTATTTAACAGCAAAACAGGATCAAGTGTGTGGATTCAACACAGGACCGACACAGGACTGCTGGCCACCGGCAGGAACAAATAAGTGTGAGTGGAGAGGCATTTGTAAGACTGGGTCTCACTTACTGGGGTAGAAGTTCCAAGGTAGAAGACTGTACAGACTGTCAACCAGGTGATGAGTGGGATAAGGATCTGCTGTGTCAGCCTGCAGGATGCATGCTGCTGTGCCCCCATCATGGGGGTGGCCATGGGAGCTGTCTGAAAGTAGGCCCAATGGCATATAACAGGGGAATGACAGAAGACACAGGTAGAGGAAGTCAGGAAGAAACAGAGGTGGCTCGGACAGGGATCCTGACACCTAGTATAGTATACATATAGTAGAGGTGGAGTACATTTGAGACATTCTCCCTAAAGAACAGATGAGTCATTCTCCCTAAAGAACAGATGAGTCATTCTCCCTAAAGAACAGCGGCGTCCTCTTCTCTAGAAAACAGGCGAGTCCTTCTCACTTAACATATACATATTTCATTTAGCTGACGTTTTTATCCAACGCAATTTACAATCAGTAAGGTCTCCATATAGTACGGGTGGGTCCTTCTAGCTATGGTACGAGTCGGTTCTTCTACAGGATAGGTATTTTCACTTTGGTGGTTCTAACACACACATCTGTGCTCCACAGTGAGCTGTCTGATTTCTGCGACGCGCTGCAGGAGCCTCTGAAGATCCCAAAAACCAGCTCCATCAAACTGACCCTCACGGATCTGCCTCTACTTTCTGAAGACAAAGTCCACTGCTCGGAGGTGCTTCACGCGCTCACCACGCAGGTGATATTTACTCTATAACTATTATGATTACTATCAAAATTGTTATTATCATTGTTTTTGTTGTCATTAGTATTGCTATTCTCATTAATATTAACAATTTTTAATTTTTATTATTGATAACATTATTATTTTTGTTGTTATTGTTAATATGATGTGTTATTGTATTCCATATATGTGGAGGTGCTGGGGGACTTAGGAATGAACTCTATGAACTCTATCAAAGCTAGATTGGAGGAAAAGTTCATGACCAACTCGTTCAAGGTATTAAACTGGTGTATTAAGTCTGTTCTGTGTTCCCTGTCTCCTTCAAGGCGAGAAAGCACAAATATATGGGGTCAGAGGCTGTTGCCTCACAGCAAGAAGGTCCTGGGTTCGATTCCGCCCAGTGGCCTTTCTGTGTGGAGTCTGCATGTTCTCCCCGTGGGTTCTCTCCGGGTTCTCCGGCTTCCTCCCACAGTCCAAAGACATGCTCTGAGGATCAGGTTAATTGGGGACTTTAAATTGCCCGTAGATGTGTGAATGTGAGTGTGAATGGTTGTGTGTCTCTGTGTAGTCCTGCGATTGGCTGGCGACCAATCCAGGATGTACCCTGTCTATTGCCCGAAGTTGGCTGGGATAGATTCCAGCCCCCCCGTGACCCTGTGTGCAGGATAAGCGGTTGACAATGGATGGATGGATGGATATCATGACAGTCTGAACACACGTGTGCGTCCTCTTTGTTTAAGTTTTTTTTACTCTCCGTGCGTTCACTGAATATCCTGTTTTTAACTCACATTGCAGTGACATTTCTGCATAGTGGCACTGGCTCCTCACTGGCTACTCCTTAAGAAGCCGCCATCACTGAGCCAGAACTGTATCTGGTGTATGACTGTTAGGAGTGATGCCTCAAACCGTGTGTGTCTCGATGGGGAGTTAACCAATGGTGGATTGTATTCAATTGATCACATCATTTAGCTGTGGCTGTGGTTGATCTGGTATATGGACTCACCTGGCGGAGATCTGAGTGTTTTGTTAGTTTAGAAGGAATTTGGTTGGTTCAGTTTTTTTCTTTTTCAGAACTCACAAGATTACAATGTAGGTATAACTCCACACTGAGCAAAGGAGCTGTGCTGTCCCCCTCTCTAAATAATATTCATTGTAATATCATCACACATAATGTAGCTGTGGCTGGTCAGGTGTACGGGTACACTTGGTATATGAACACGCCTGGTGGGAACCTGAAGGCACTACTCCTTTGTGTCGATGGGAATCAGCTGAGGTGGTTCGGGTGTCTAACTAGCCTCGTGGACGCCTCCCAATGGAGGTTTTTCGGGCACGCCCGACTGGTGGGACACTCCGGGGAAGACCCAGGACACACTGGAGAGACTATATCTCCCAGTTTATCCCCCAGAATGAGCTGGGAAATGTTGCGGGTGATCAGATGAGGTCTGGTCAACCTGCTGGGCCTCCTGCCACCGCAACCAGACTCCAGATAAGCAGAGGAAAATGGATGTATGTGTGAGAGCCAAAAAAACACGTCTGAGCTGCTGCTTCCTTACGAACCATCCCGACCCCTGAGGTCCTCTGGGACGTGTCTCCTTTCTGTTTGCAGAGTTTGGACCAAACATGGAGAACTTGCTGGGCCTTGGTTTAACTTTGTCTTTGACCAGTTTTGAACTTTATTATGTGAAAAGTCAAGACATGCAAGCATAAATTTAACTGCCGACAACTCAGTTTTCACAAGTGAGGCATTGGTCATTTACCGGTTCATTTAAGCAGATGTGAGTTCTATTTATATCTACGATTAATGTACATGTCTTATCATCCCCAATGGGATATTTAGTTTGCAACGAGCTGCAATCTGCAGAATACAACAACATACAGCCAACCAGACTGTACACTGGTACACACAAGACGCAGTCAAAATCAACACGGACCGTTGGAAGAGTATTGATTGTTGTTGCCCACAGGTGTCGTGTGAACCGATCAGCAGCAGCCTGCAAGGAAAACAAGAAGACGTTGAGGCGACAATTCTACAGCAAAGAGCCGATGAAGAGACGGCCGTCCAGTCTGTTCAGGGTGGTGTTTCAGCTTCAGAGTGAGCTACTCCTCCACTTGTGGACTCTTGCAATCGAAGCGACCCAAATCTGAGTTTGCAGAGTCGAGTTTGGTCTTTTCTTCCGGCTTTGAAAAACATATTCCTGCATTCTTTGCCTCCTAGCAGAGCTCAGTCTTTGATGATGTTAAACTTTATCAATAAACTTGATATATCTACTAATCAAGGTTATTATAGTCTTTAAAATAATAATTACTGTGATTCGGAATTGATCAAATAAGATCCAAGTCTATGTGCCTTTGTTAGGTATAACATTATATTGCATTAGTGTAGAAATGTAATCATTTAAGAGACATTTAAAAAATGTTTGTATAATAAAAGCATAATCAAAGTAACATTATTATTAAAAAGCAACACCTGTATTCAAGTAATAAGCATTATAAACCCAGAACAACAAACGATAAAATGACTCCAAATGATCTTTTGGTTATTGACCACATGCTTCTTGCATAACTTTACTTCAATCAAGACATCCTTCTATTATCAATGTCATGTTAGGTATAACTGTTGTACTTTATAGTATATTTGTACTTTGTTATATTTTTGTACGTTTTGTATCATTTCATAGTTTTACTTTTTTATTCATTTTTTATACATTATGCATGGTTATGTATGTTGATATTTTGTTGTCGGTGTGTAAAATGAAATAAATGCAGCTCAAAACAACTGCCGTCAATATTCATTGTACCGTGTGTGTCGCTAATAATTTACGGCATGGAGGTTATCGCTTGGGTGGCACTCATGTGAGATTCAGGTAAGACTCGGGTAAGACTTATGTAGACCCCAGGTAGGACTCTGATAAAACTTAATCTTATAAATCATCTGGATTATTATTTAGCAGCTGAGCTCACATGTATTACATTTATTATCTAGTTTAACAGAAACTACAAGCAGGATTTGTTTTGAACACCAAACAACTATGTATATTATTTTATTATTTATAAAATTATTATTTATTATTATATTATTATTTTAGCCTTTAGTAGTACATACACAACAAAATAGTCCACACGTCTAGAGAGGAATTTGCCTTTCTAACTTCCTGTGAATAAGTTATGATGAAGTTAAGAAGGCACATATCTTGAAGACAAGGACATCTAGTGAATTTCTTTATAATAACACAAGTGGTCGAGATGGCTCAATCAGTCACAACTAGAGGTTGTAGAGGTTTTAAGCATCAAAGCAGGATTTAGTCATCCTGACATCAATACACAGGGTGCATACAACCATTCACACTCACATCCACACTTGCAATTTAGAGTCCCCAATCTACCTGATGAGCATGTCTTTGGACTGTGGGAGGAAAACAGCGGACCCACATAGAAAGGCCACTGGAATTGAACCCAGGACCTTCTTGCTGTGAGGCAGCAGTGCTAACCACCACACCGCCGTGACGCCCCAGGATTTAGTCATTGAGACAATATATTATTTAAAATCACCTCTATTTTTTATGATGAAAGAGTTTGACAGACATTAGTAAAAAGTATGAAAAGAAATAACCTCAACTGAAGTCTAGTCATTGATGTTGTCATGGTAACGAAATAGACTATCACACTTAACCACTTAGCAGGCAACATCAATTTAGTCCCTGATGGTTCAGGGTTTAGTGGGGACATTCCTTCTTCTTTTTCTTTTTCGTGTGTACGGTCTCTTTAAATGTTTGAACCAGCAGCGCGCGGCTTCTCGTTTATTGACGTCACGGGCGCATGAAGTGGACAAGATGGCGGCTGTGTTGGATCGTAGCTTCATAGAGATCTGCGGATTTGAGAGAGAAACTCTGCACAGGTTCCGAGATGTGACCGTGAACCTCCCTGGTAACGTTCCATTCAGCGCTCATGTGTTCTGTGTTCAATACTAATCTCATGTGATCTCAGGCTAGCTGCTGTTAGCACTCACGACATGCTAACAATAGTTAGCACTGCTAACACGCTGGCGGGTAGTTAACCTAGCTCTGTATGCTAATATATTAATACTTCATATCAATGTTTCTAACTGTATGTAAGGTTATCTATCTATTCAACTCACTGTCAAGGCTGAATACATCCATACCTTTCTATATGACTGTTTACTTTAAAATTACCTAATAGAAGAATTATGCTACTGAAGTATTATGACAAAGACCACTCACTGAGGTAGAAGTATGCTAGTACTGAGTACTACTTCCTGTCCGCAGGTGTGAGCGCTCTTCCTGGTGGACAGAGGTTTCCTGACAGTGGGGGTGCGTTCCATTATGAAGAGAGTGGGAAGCTGCTGTCTGTCACCAGTAACAGATTCATTCACTGGTGAGGCCGCCATCATATCTATTATAGATCAATGCATATGATTCACGTGAAGAGATGGATAATGATCCGTGTATATAAAATGTAGAACAGAATTTTATTAAGTCTCTAGTACAGCTAGAGTCCAACATAAAGACTTTGGGGGCTGAAGTTGTGTTTGAGTTGGTCTTGGAGAAGAAGAGGAAGAGGAGAAAATATGTGGAAGAAAAAGTTGTAGCTGTGGATCCCCAGGTCCTCTAGTCCTAGTTCATGACACGTAGCTCAGAAATGATGTGACAGCACTGCTTTTTGTTGTTTTATGTTTTATCATATACATTTAATATATTAAAATATGATATACAACAATAACCTATATTTAATTACCATTTACACCATGTGACAGTGTGTCTCCAGGTGTACTGCATGTCATTGTGCGTCTACAGGTCTACTGCAGGTGACAGTGTTCAACTGGTGGAACAGTCTCTGGACACCAACCTGCTGAACAACGCCATCAGGCTGCAGCTGAGTCACTGCAAAGTTCTACCTGGAGGAGTCGTGGTCCAGGAAACCCTCAGCAATGTCATCATCCTGGTCTCCACCAATCAGAGCGTCCACAGGCTGGTGCTGCCCCACCCCACCCGCATGTACCGCAGTGTGAGTGATACACACACACACTATGTACAGCATTGTGAGTGCACGCACACAGATATGTTGAATACTGCACAGGCATGTTTTACTATGTTAGCCCCCCCCACCCTCACTGCTAGGATTCTCGGTCTCACACTGAGACTACTGTAGCTCCTCCTCCTGACAGGTCTACCTGTTAATGCCCTCCCACCTCTGCAGCTCATCCAGAATGCAGCAGCTTGACGGGTCTTTTTAACCTAAACTACACTCTTTCGGTGGGGGGGTGATTTTAGGGGGGTCGCCCCCCTGTTATATTGGTACTGGAAACACTACAGTCCTCTCCCTTCACTGGTTACCAGTGGTAGGGCTCACCCCGCTCTGCACCTATCTGCTTCTTGGAGTAGTAGTAACCCACTGTCTGATGTCCTCGCTCCTAAAAGGTGGAACAAGCTCCTCAATGTGATCAGTAGCATGGCACTTACTTACAGAATGTGTAGTGTGACTTTCCTGAATAAGATGTCTTTTGTTAATTGTTGTTGGTACAACCAAATGAAATACAATTTTAAACTGTATTCGTTGAATATGGCATTTAACCTACCATTATACTGGTATAACTGGTAAGTTATCAGAGCTGAATAGCTTCTGTTTAACATCAGTACAGGTGAACAAGTTGACTCACCTTTCTGCCCTCCACAGGAGCTGGTAACGGAGCACCACATGCAGTCAATCTTCACTGACGTGGGGAAGCTGAGTCTGCATGAACCTTCTCACAGCGCCCTCATCCCCAGCTCAGTGGGCCAGACTGGGAGTCCCAGCACCTCCACAGCCTGGCTCAGTGAGTCCGGGGAGGCCCACTACGCTTTGGCTTCACCTGCTGGAGGCATCAGGGTGGTCTCTCTGCCCCCTCTCGGCACACAAGGTAGAGACAAGGAATCATGTGGTCCCAGCACAGCCATTCAGACAGGTTGCCGTGGTCCCAGCACAGCCATTCAGACAGGTTGCCGTGGTCCCAGCACAGCCATTCAGACAGGTTGCCGTGGTCCCAGCACAGCCATTCAGACAGGTTGCCGGGGTCCCAGCACAGCCATTCAGACAGGTTGCCGTGGTCCCAGCACAGCCATTCAGACAGGTTGCCGGGGTCCCAGCACAGCCATTCAGACAGGTTGCCGTGGTCCCAGCACAGCCATTCAGACAGGTTGCCGGGGTCCCAGCACAGCCATTCAGACAGGTTGCCGTGGTCCCAGCACAGCCATTCAGACAGGTTGCCGTGGTCCCAGCACAGCCATTCAGACAGGTTGCCGTGGTCCCAGCACAGCCATTCAGACAGGTTGCCACGGTCCGTGTAAAGTCACTCACACAGGTTTCCATAGTCACCCAGACTGGCTTTAAGTGTGTTTGCGTGTGTTGCAGGCAGCGTGTCCGTGGTGGAGCTGAAAAGGAGCTTCCATGATGCAGAGGTTGTCGGGCTGGATGCCCTCATCGATCCGGGGGGAGCAGAGTCCAGCTGACCTGGCCCTCAGTCTGGCTGTCAAGGAGCTGGAGGAAGACACCTTCATCTTTGCTCTCTGTCAGGACCACAAGCTGCGCATGTGGTCCATTAGGGTGAGACCTTCAGTCTACCTTCAGTACCAACAGTACTAGCCCGATATTAGTTACCAGTAATGTCTTTAGTATTTCCAGTATATACAGGTTTCAGTACACAGGACCACATCATAATACCTGTTGCTCCCCTCCCCCCTCAGGAGCAGGCATGTCTGCTGGAGACCGACATGCTGGACTACATGCCGTCGGGCAGAGGACTGAAGCGTCAGTCTGGCACGGGTCACCGTCTGAGGATCTCGTCCTCGTTGTCCGGCCTCTGTGTCGGCGTCTACCTGTCCTTCCCTCAGAGAGGACAGTTCACCGTACTGCAGCTGGTCATCACCGACAACAACCGCTACAGCCTCGACCACATCTCCTCTTTGTTCACCACACAGGTGAGCTGTGATTTTGTTTTCTGCTGATGTCATTGTCTCGAACTAGCCAAAAAATTGAAAACGTGGATTAAAGTTTAGAGCTGCTGGCAGTGATGATTATTCCTCAAGCCTAAAGGAAATCACCCCACTGTCACTAAAACCCAAAAGCTTCCAGATTTATTGAGTTTCTGCTGAACTGTGATGGATCCGTTGAATCCTCTGGACCTGAGGTGTTCAGTTATAATTCAAACGGTCATCAAAGGTCCAGAACCTCATCATAATGTCTGACTGTCCATGATCAAGTTCCATATAGTTCAGTCTCAGTTGTGTTTAACAGAGTTCATGTTTCCACAGGAGACTCTGGTGGACTTCTCTCTGACCTCCACAGACATCTGGGCCGTCTGGGTGGACGAATCCAACAACACTGTAGTCAAATACATAAACTTTGAACAGTAAGTCACATAATGTTTTTTTCTGCTGCTCCTCAGAAGCAGGAACTCTATTGATTGACTGTTTTCTCCAGTAACACAGCAGGTCAGTGGAATCAAGTGTTTGTTCAGCCTGCACCCGAAGAAGAAGTCCTTATTGGAGTGGACCAGGACCCCCGAGTAAGACCAGACTGTGACATCATGGAGGGGGTGGGGGGGGGGGTACTGATTGTTTAGATTACCAATGATCAGGACTGTCACACAAACGTAGTAAATACAAATATAGCAGGAGTGCGAGTAAATCACATTTTGTTAAGTGTTGATATTTATTCACTTCAGACAAAATAAGAATATATTTTTTAACATTTTCAATTTTTTAAAGTGGGATTGAAGACTTGTATATAGGTGGTAATGTGTGTTGTCATGGTAACTGAGCAGACTGTTATGATACTCATTGTTACATGCTGTGTGGTTAACAGGAGACATACCTGGATGTTATCTTCTCCCCTCTACACTTCACTTCTTCGGCAATAGTTAAAGCTCTACAGGTAAGAAACTACCAACTCTACTTGAATCCTGAGATGCTCTCAATTTGGGGCAGAGAAGTGTTCAGTGTAACAATGCACTAATCATGAAGGAAAATAGTGATGCTGCACATCAAATTAAACCCGCAAAATCCAGGGCTACAAGAATAAAAAGCCATGTTACTCCAAACACAACTAACTAATGACCAAATATCATAATCCATTGGACTTCATCAAACCCCTCGCAACATTTCTGGATGTAGCGCTAGCATACTCTTAGCTTAACTGACAAACGATATCTCTCAGGCTAAAGCAGTCTGCTGATTTCGAGCTACACAACAAGGCCTCAGCTTTACTTGCGTTCGTTAAAGCTCTAGTTGTGATAGTTGAAGCTCTACGGGTGTTTGTTGACGCTCTACAAATGTCAGCTCTTTGGGTGTTTTAAGTTAGTACATCATTGGTTATTGATGACTTTGTGTGTCAGATATACCGTAGAGGCTCACAGAAGATCATTGATCCGTCCTGGGACAATCTGAAGAAAGAGGTGACCGTGGCCGTGGAGAGTGAGGTACTTTATTCTGTCTCATATATATTTGTGTAAATAGGTTTTTGTTTTAAATGTATTCAATTTGCAAATATATCATGTATTTCTTGACTAGAATTTATATAAATGGTGTGTTTTAAGTCATATTTGTCAACAGCAGCTGCTGTATTTGTTAATAATGTCCTCCTGTCTGTCTTCCTCCTGTCTCCCCTCCAGCTCCAGAGCAGTGTGACGGAGTTTGAGTTTTCTCAGGAGGAGTACCGGCGGCTCCAGGTGGACTTCTGGTCCAAGTTCTATGCCTGCTGTCTGCAGTACCAGGAGGTCCAGTCTCTCCCTCTGGGTCTCACTGTGAGCCAGAACACAGGGCTGGTGTGCCTGTTGAAGAAGGTGCTCCATCTCATTAATCCTGTTACTCTGGTATTTTAATCAGACACTATGTATTAGGGTCTAACCTGCTCCTTGTGTTTCAGGGTTTAGTGTCGTTCCTCCTACCTTGTTTCGCTGTGGATCATCTCTACTTGTCTTATGATGAGTACTTGTTCTCAGAGGAGGAGACACCCATAACCGAAGGTCATCATGTCTTTGAAAATCATCAAGCTGTACTGATGTTTTGGACCTTGATGTGGATCCTGCGTGTGTGTGTGTATGTTAATGTTCTGATGGTCTGGACCCTCAGACCCTGATCTCGGCCGAGACCTTCTGCAGCTGGTTCAGTGTCTGCGGCTGGTCAGTGATGCGGTTTCTGGCGGTATGGCGTATGAGATGGACAAAGCTCTGGAACACCTTGAGTCGCCTGAGAGAGCAGCTGAACTGGTTCTGGAGAACCTGCTCTCCAATGACGAGTAAGTCCTCGTCCCTCTCAATCAATAACTTTTATCAATTCGATCTATTGAAAGTATTTTAGAAGCTAACCAGGTTTAATGTAAATGTGCCGTTTTCTCCTGCAGAAAGAATGTTATTGAGGACATCCAGAACAAACTGCAGGACATCCGGAACCCGATGGCAGCTATGATGGTTCTGCTGAGGGAGCTGGACCTGGAGACGGATTCAGACGTGGGGGTAGATGGACTCGTCCTACCTGGTGGGTCCCTTTTTATACAAACCTTGTCCAGAACAACAGACTCGTGGACTCTTCTCATGTGCTTGCTGGCTTTGTGTCTTGCAGGTCTCAATCTGAGGATCAGCCTGTCTCAGCTGTTGGGAAGCAGCTCTGCAGTTTCTGTGGTCTGTCAGGCTGTGTGTCACTTGGCCATGACCAGAACCCTGTTCTGTAGAGACCTGCTGATCCTGCAGAAACTCTACCTGCGCTTTGGAGACAATGTACGTACACACACATGTCTCTCTGCTGCCCCGCCCTACCAGTGTCTCTATGACCACATATTCTACTGATGATCAGTTTACCAGGGCCAGGCAGGTGTAACTGATCTAATATCTGATTTCAAACATGGCTGCAGTCAGAAGAAAAGGTAATAAATTGTTTGTTTTGTGTCAGATGTTTCTGGGCGGGGGGGCTCAGCTCCTGCAGCTCCAGCAGGACCTAATCCCTCGGAGCTCCACCCTCCTCTCCTCTTATTACCTCCTCAAACGCATCAGTCAGAGCCTGGCCTCCTCTGTGCCCATCGACATCATGTGAGTAGCCACTAGTGAACAAGCATGTGTTCAACTTTAAACATTTGGTTTAGTTCAATGCCGTGACACTGCTTCTTAGTTTAGTTTAGTCTGTTAATCCACTCGCCACTCTTGCTGCTGTTCCTCAAGTTTCATGTTGAATGACATACGCAGGTAAAACAAGATTGAAACTGTTGGATTCTGGGTTTTACTCATTTGTTTATTAACTCACATAATTCATTAGTTGACAAAACGTTAAGTAGCCCAAAAAAATATGAGAAATACACCCAGATAGATGTAGAATTTGTTGTCACCTCCTGCAGAGACGCTAACCTGCAGCACCTCACAGTGTTGGAGCTGTCAGACACACCGGCCCCCTCCGCCAACCGATCAGGTCAGGCACACGCAATCTGTGTACATATGAGGTAACGATAGTACCAGTCTATATGAAGTAATGGTGGTACCAGACATGATCACTGTCAATATGAGGTAACAATAGTACCAGTCTATATGAAGTAATGGTGGTACCAGACATGATCACTGTCAATATGAGGTAACAATAGTACCAGTCTATATGAAGTAATGGTGGTACCAGACATGATCACTGCCTATATGAGGTAACAATAGTACCAGTCTATATGAAGTAATGGTGGTACCAGACATGATCACTGCCTATATGAGGTAACAATAGTACCAGTCTATATGAAGTAATGGTGGTACCAAGTATGATGTTCATGGCGAGTATGAGGTAATAGTAACATTATTTTTAGTTCATATATGAGGTAATAACTGCACCTCACACAATGTTCAGTCACTATATGAGGTAATAACATTGTTTTTCTCCCAGCAGTGCTGAGTCCTCAGACTGTGCTGGAGCTCTTCTATCAGACTGCAGCCAGAAAGCTGATCATCTCTCAGATTTACTCTCAGCAGCAGAGCAGCTCTGTTCTCCTCTGGAGTCACATGATCTCCAACGTGGTCATCCTCCTGGCACAGCTGCTGTATCCTTTGACCACCTGATTTATTTATTATGGGGACTTCTCGTCATCCCCATTCTGGACTGGTTGGGTGTTGAATCTTAACTTGTTTCCTTCCAGTTGGCCCAGTAACTCTGGTTTCCAGTTCCCAGAGTGCCTGATGGCTAACTGTCAGTACACTCAGCTGCAGGTGGGTTAGACCTTGTCTTCATCGCACTGAGCCCACGTCTTCATCCTCATCTCTACATTTATTCCTTAATGCAAACTGTTGTCACTGATACACTAACGCAGTGGTTCCCAAACTGGGGGGTTGAGGCGTCATCACCAACCCTAAAAACCACAAAACCGTCATGAGAGAGAGTTGTGTTCGAACAACGCCCCCCAGAGCGGCTCAGGTTTAGTCGCTTTTGTCGGCAACTTCAATTTTAATATTAATGCAAATTTACTTGAAAATATGTTTACAAAATGTGATAAAAGTGAAGTGATGAGTGTCATTTTATGAATAAAATTTTTACATTTTATATAGTTTTATATATTATCATGCACCTAATTTAAAACAAGAAACAAGCCTTTTTTCCGGTGGGGGGGTTTGAGGGGGCCTTACAATGTCTCTATCCTCAAAGGGGCCCATGACATAGAAAGTTTGGAACCAGTGAACTAATGTATTAATCCATAAATCAGTATGTGATTGCTTCATCTGCTGGCGTTCTGAGTGAAAAGTTCTTTTAGCACATATATGAAGGTAGCAGGACACGTATGAACCATCTGCAGCCTCTGATTGGAGGAGAACTCTGTGACATCACACCCCATGTTGCCTTTGCTTATCTTCCCTACGTCCAATGTCTGACACACACGCACTATAGAGGTGTGTGTGTGATGGATTGTTTCTCACTTGTGTGTGTTTGTTTGCGTGCAGGAGTATGTGCGTCTCATTGGTCCCTGGTGTCAGGTGAACATCGGCTCCTGCCGCTTCATGCTGGGTCAGTGTTACCTGGCCAACGGGGAGGGGCAGAAGGTGGGTCACCAGCACTACACCTGTAGGTCAGAGAGCGGTGAAGCCGGCTCCACGCATTGACTCTGTGGTTGTTTTCAGGCCTTGCAGTGTTTCCAGGAGGCAGCAACAGAGGTGGAGAAGGAGGAGTTCCTCATAAGACTGACAGGCACCGAGGAGGAGGAGGCCGCCTCCACACCCAGATTACAGTATTACAACAAGGTGCATACGGCGATGGGGCTGGGCGGCCAAAAAAACCCTATCACGGTATTTTGTAAGATTCTGGCGGCTACACGGTATAGCAGGTTTTTTTGGAGTAAACTCATTCATTGACTCTGAATGGGGCCACCTGAACAGCTGTTCACCACTTGTTTTTCACAACTCCCAACTGGCCATTGAGTTAGCTATCAAGCTAACTTAGTAAGTTAGCTAACTCAACACCAAATAAATTGTTTTCCGATCCAACTTGCGTCTTATTTTTCAAAACCAAAACCCTTCCAGAGAGTCACAGCGCCTCTTGGGCACAAGTTGTGTTGGTGCATCTCTGGTGTCTTGTTGTTGCTCCTGCATCGCTGTTCGGTGTTTTCATGTAGCGAGTTTCTACTTGTGATAGCAGGCAAGTTGTACCCAGCATGCAGTTCAGCGGTGTCATTTTATAAAAGTACAATTACTAATGTTACAAATTGTTTTAATTCATCTTATTTTCTATAGCCAAAAAACAGCAAATTACAAATGTTCATCAGAGGGCTGTACAGTTAGTACGCAAGCAATATCCTCTGTCCCGAAACCCTCTCACCTGCACAGGAAAAACACTTTGATTTGAGGAATAATCCAGACTGCTGTTCATTGACTGTTTACCTGTTCAGGTGCTGCGCCTGCTGGAGGATGTCTGTCTACCTGAGCTGGTCATCCAGCTGGCCTCTCTGGCCATCACGGAGGCCGTGAGCGACATCAACAGTCAGGTGACTTCAAGCAGTGACATGGGAACATCTTAAGAACATCTAGTGGTCACATTTCAACGGTTCACCTTTAGCACACAGGTAGGCCGATACATATTGTTCCTCAGTAAAATCAAAATGTCGTGTGTTGTCTTAAGGCGGCTCTTTGGACCAGAATATTCAAACATCATTTGGACCTTGGACACAACAGTGAAGCATATGAGGCCCTCACCCAGAACCCCGACAGCAGCATGTATGTACAAGTGAACACACGTGTAACGTATTTACATAAATGTCCTGTCCTGATTTTGGACTGGTGTCAAGTAAAAATGTTCTAACAATGTACCCGTACGTTAAAAAGAATTCGGTTTAGCATATTTTTAGTATTGATACCTCATGCACACTTACTGCTCCGCTCCCAGTCATGCTGCCTGCACGCATTGACTGACAGGAGGCGGGGCTCAGCGAGCGCTCGCAGGGGAAACCTGGCCCCACGTGTACGAGCCCTGGCCGACCCTCCTCGGCTTGTTGTTGATGGCACCATGTAGTTTTAATGTGTATCCTGCTGTCTGCTAATACCAATATTGATGCCATTTGTTAAGTGTTCAAAAAGCTGGGCAGGAACACGCTGGTAAAAAGGGAACCACAGAGGTTTTACTTATTAGTATCATAGGTAAATATACCGGTATGAGTGCTATTTTTAGACAATCTGTGTGATGATGGACTGAGATTATGACGTGATGATAAGGATTGTGGTCTTTACAAACATATGTGTTTCTCTTCGTGTTCTCAGGCAGCTGGATTGTCTCCGTCAGCTGGTCGTAGTTCTTTGTGAACGTTCTCAGCTCCAAGACCTGGTCCAGTTCTCCTACGTCAACCTGCACGATGAGGTAAAGCTCTTACTCTGTTGGTGACACATTCATACAGTGGTTCCCAAACTGGGGGGGCAGCTTCAACACACACACACAGGTAGAACTGGAGTCGTCGTGGCGAAGGGATAGAGAGGGTACGCCGGGAACCGCAAGGTTGGTGGTTCGAGCCCCGGCTGCCCCATGTTGAAGTGTCCCTGAGCAAGACACCTAACCCCTAACTGCTCCCCAGGCAAAAATGTACAACGCCATGTGTTAAAAATGTAATGTAACTCGCTTTGGATAAAAGCGGCAGCTAAATGACCTGTAATGTGTGTCAAGATGGACGAGTGCGTCACTGGTGTAAAATGTGAATTAGATTATAATATTTTTCAGTATATACACCGAAGTTGAAAAGTGAGGTGATATGTACTTCTGAATTAATAGCTCATTGTTTTTGTTTTTTTACGAGGTCGTTGGTATCATTGAGTCTCGGGCCCGAGGTTTGGACCTTCTGGCTCATAACTACTATGAGCTGCTTTACGCCTTCCACATCAACAGACACAACTTCAGGAAAGGTAAACAACAACAACTACTACACGCTTATATCAGCAAAGTACATCTGGAATATTCATTGTCTGTCTCTGCAGCGGGTTCGGTGATGTTTGAGTTGGGGATGCGTCTTGGTCGAGAGGTTCGGACTCGTCTGGGCCTCCAGAAGCAGGTCAACTGTTACCTGGCTGCTCTTAACTGTCTCCGACTCATCAGACCAGAATACGCCTGGATAGTCCAGCCCGTCTCTGGAGCTATGGTACTTCTATACGCGCGCACTCACATGAGTGTATATTATTATATCACACATGTATGTATCCAGCCATACGTGTTTGTCTGCTTGTGTTCTTCAGTACGAGAGACCAGGAGCTTCTCCAAAGAGGAACTCTGATGGAGACTTTTCTTCTGAACCAGGTGACTCGTCTTTAACAAACCTTCATCGACAAGGCGTCTGTTGCCAGTCATTGGTTTTTAATAATAACTACAATGGATGAATCTACATTTTCTTTTTTTTTTTCTGCAGTCAAACGTCAGGTCGACATCCTGGAACTCAAAGACCTGGAGAAGGAATATGTGGTGTCACGTAGCCGCCTGACCCTCGCCCAGCACCACCCGCCTTCTGCGGCCATCGCTGGTACACCCACTACACCTTCTGCACCGCCACGTGATGTTTAATTTTATTTCTGGCCATCGACCTTATTGGAACCCCTGGCCTTTACCTTCTGTGCCACCTCACCTTCTACACTAGGGGTGCCCACACTTTTCAATCGACCAACTCATGGCGAGCTACCCCTCCCCACCCTCCCCTCCCGACTACAGAATAGTAATCACAACGAGCTGTAAACGGTTAAAAAGCCCATTAAGGGTCGCTGATTTGCACTACCTCTTTTCTAGCTCTGGTGACTTTTTTGTTGGATATAAAGAATATTTCCCTCTAGCATCGTCGTTTTGGTTAAGCATGAAATGTTTTGTGTTAACATACTGTATGAATCATTTTATGCACACACACACTATGCATATCTTTTCATGAAATACTTTTGAGTTGGGATGGTGGGTCAGCAGCAGTAACCCGTTTGTCTGCAGGAAGTGCCTCGGCAGAGGAGATGGTGACCCTGTTGGTCCAAACCGGTTTGTTTGACTCTGCTTTGTCCATCTGTCAAACCTTCAAACTGAACCTGACTTCAGTGTTCGAGGGTCTGACCTTCAAGTGAGTTTCTACAACGCGTTTGGAATGTGCACAAGTACACATTGTAAATTAAAATACTAAACATGAAAAGATGTGTTCTCTTTGGTCGTCAGGTGCATTAAACTTCAGTTTGGGGGGGAGGAGACTCAAAACGAAGCCTGGAGCTGGTTGGCTGCTAATCAGCTGTCTTCTGTCAACACCAAAGAGTCCAGGTATTACATCGCAATAACTTCTAAGCGGCATTAGTTTAATAGCAATTCAAATAACGTAGTTCTTCTGTGGTCAGTGCGACAGACGAGGCGTGGCAGCTGCTGGCCTCCTACCTGGACAAGTATCCTTCTGCCAACGCACGCCACCACCGCTGTGTCATCAGCAAGCTGCTGTCACACGGCGTGCCTCTGCCTGATTGGCTCATCAAGTCCTACAAGGTAAGAGTTCAGCCTATAGGAGCAGCGGGTCGAGTTTCCTACAGGAAGTGGACGCTTTTCCCACAATGCAGCTGTGTTTGTTACAGGAAGTGGATGCTGCCTCTCTGCTGCGTCTCTACCTAAACTTTGACCTCCTGGATGCTGCAGCCGAGCTGGTGTTGGAGTATGTGGACGCTCTGCTAGGCAGAGGACACCAGTACTTTGGAATAGAGGTGAAGTACTTCGACTAGGCGGTTATCTTTAAATGATTGATGAAACTGACGTGTGTCTGACGCGTTTCAGAGACCTTTGTCGGCCACTTCCTCCTCCGTCTGGCTCCCGTACACCTCCATCGATCAGCTGCTGCAGACCCTGAACGAGACGCAGACCAACAGCAGCGTGAGTCCTCCTCGCTTCCGTTCTTTCTGCCTTCAGATCTTCTGTGTGACCAACATGCTGCTTGTTTTCAGGTTTATAACAAAGTCCGTGACAAACTGGAGAATTATCACAAACTGGTGGAGCAGACGACCAAACGGAGGCTGGTCACTCAGTGAAGAGTCCGGTCACATGACTGCTTCGACATGTCAGATCAGCTATTTGTGTTACGTTTTTTTTATCATCACATTGTTCCTTCAGAAAGTTAAGTTTTGATGAAAATAAAGTGTTTTGGAATGTGTTTGTCGCCAATAAATATCCACTGCATTCTGGATGAGAAACTGCCTCAAACGTATATATTTGTGTGTGCAATCTTAAACACTTCAGAAAAAAATAAAGGAACAATCTTTTTATCAGGTGTAGGGCATGAATTCAATAGCACCTCTGATAATCTGCTCAGGTAAGTAGCAGAGGGGTTGTTAATCTGGGACTGGTTTTGCACGTGGAGGCCATTTCTACTGCTTTCTGCAGAGAGAAACGGGTTGAGCACTGCCCGAGCCCTCCAGAATGCCACTGGTGTGAATGTCTGCCCAATCAGACTTCTTGGGGGCGTCCTGTGCTTTTCAAAGATGAGGGCAGGTCCTCCCTGAGCTCCCGTGGTAGACGTCTGAAGCAGCCAAGGAGAACACCATGCTGCCGGCAACATGGGCGGATGGGTCGTCCTGGGTTCCTCTTGATGCAGGCAGCACCTGGAGGATAAAGGAGTTTACCATTGGATGGCCCCCACACCTGATAGAACCTCTGGGTCCATCCGACTTTACAGGAGCTCACTGATGCCCTTGGACAGATCTGGGAGGACATCCCACAAGACACGATAAAGCTTTACCTTTTTATGAAAAATATTGTGCAGTCTATCAATTGAACAATCTTATACCTTTTATATTCATGCCACTCATTCATACCATATATTTGTGCAGCCTCTTTTTTTTTTTTTTTACAGAAATTGAACAGATTTTTCATATCAGTGAAGTAAGTTATTTTAAGGCTAAAAACGTACCAATTCAAGACTAATGTGCTGAGTTATTGTGACTTTAATAATCCTACTGATGTATTATCTAAAGGACTGCAGCATTAAATATCATTTACAATTGGTTGATGTGGATCAAACCCTCAGACTGACGAGCGGAGGTCGAAGTACAAATAAAAACGGGACAGACATTTATTGTGCCAGAACCTACTGTACATAAACACACGTGTGTACCACGTCATCCCCGGTTACAGCAGCATCAATCATATAAAAGAATAAATGGAATGCTTTGTTCAGTAATACTGATTTGTACCATACGAGGAGGAATGTGGCGTGAGCCCACAGGAAGTCACTGAGTCACTGGTCGGGTGGGGGCCTCACGCGGTGCTCTTGGTGGGAAGCTCCGTGCTGTTGTGCCGCGTCTTGCGCGACGTGCCGTCGTCCCGCGGCCGGGCCTTCTGCAGGCTGGACATGGCGGCGGTGCGCTCAATGTCGATGAGGGCGTAGAGCTCGGTGCGGCGGGTGGGGGTGGTGGGGGGCAGCGGGGAGGTGGGGGTGCGCGGCGTGTGCGGGTTGCTGCTCGTCCGAAGCGCCCTTGTTCCCAACAGCAACGTCCATCTCCACCTCGATGTAGTTGAGGGTCTTGGGCGGCTCGCGTGCCCCCCCGGCCGGCGGAAGTCGAAGTTGAAGATGCTGGGAGCCTTCGGCGCGCCGCGGGGCGTGTCGGGCCGTGGGCGCTGGAGCGGAGCGCCACATTCTCCGTGTGACGTAGTTGTGGGAGGCTTCGGGCTGGGGGACAGAGGTGGCAGTAGGAGTGGTGCAGCAGGTTGTGGGGGGATGTGGTGTTGTAGCCCTTGACTGACGCGTCTTGGCGTTCTCCTCTTCCGAGTCAACTTCTGGCTCCACACCGGGGCAGCAGCGGCAGGTTCTCGTAGTCCAGCAGGGCGGTGCGGCGCTGGGCCGAGTTGTTGACATTCTGCAGGTCTGGCGTGAGGGGGGGCGGCCGTTGGCGGCGAGGCGCAGTGGAGGAATTGGAGGAGGAGCCGTTGGAGAGCTGGGGGGCCGGCTCAGGGGGGGTCGCCAGGTGGCCATTAGTCTCTCGGGGCTCCTCCCACCTCCGTAGGCTCCTGCTGCTGCTGCTTCTCCATCAGCTGCCTCTGAACGGGGGTGGGGCCCAGCACAAAGCGGACCCCCTGAGGCTCCAGCAGCACCTGCGGTTCCGGGTCCAACGGCTCGACGCGGACCCTCGGGGGAGGCGGGGGGGTCGGCGGGCACAGAGACCGGGGGGAGGTGGGACTCTCCAGAGGAGTGGTGACCGTCAGAGGGCTCGGCTGGTCCTCCAGGAGCCCCGTGGTGTTCACGTAGGTGTGGACCTGAAGCAGGAGGACACATCGTTAGCTCAGATCATTAGAGTAGATAATTCATCTGTGGGGCGGTCAATAGATTTAAAAAAATTAAATAAAAACTAATAATAATTTTGAAATTCATTCATCTCGATTAATGAATGTTTTTCTTCTAAAGACAAAATCTAAAAAACACGAGTAATCACTTTAGAAAACGTGTATTTTACACCCCGTTGTTTAATTGTTAATGTTATTTTAAACACAAAACTACACACTTGATCATCTTGGCGGCAGAATTCCACCGAGTGGAACATGTTGAACTAGCGACTCTTCCAGATAGCTTAGCCTAGCAGTGCTTTAAGTGGTCCGTTCTGCACAGTTCTTCACAGTCAGTTTGTTTTACTTGTTTTAGCTCTTTCCATCTTGAGCTACTGTCTTGCTTCCGGAAGTAAACAAAGGTACGTTAAAATATTTTGTTGCATTAATCTCGGCCACATTAATCGCGTAGATTAACTTGTTTATGTTGACAGCCGTATTAATCTCTAATATTTGTTTTATGTTGCTTTGATGACATCTTAAAACAACAGGATTTATTCCTGTTTGTCACCAAAACATTTAAAACATCACACAAGAATGCGTAGCAGCGTTGTAGTGCTCATATAATTTACGGAATGACCCTGAACGCACCCTCGTTAAAATTCGTTTAAATTCACTCAGTAAATTTGTGAGAAACTGGACTAAATCCACCGGAGCTTCAGGTTATGACACCAGGACCAATACCAGATGCATATGTGGTGTATTAATATGAGCTGCACGCTGTGTACATTATGTTTATTTATGATCAACACAAAGACAAGTGTCTAACCGCCTCATCGGCCACCAGCAGGGGGTGAGTGGACTCTTCTCCCACGGAGGGCAGGCGGGTGCTCGCCACGGACGGGTGTCGGGTTGAGGGGTGAGATGGGGCCTCCCCCACAGAAGGGATCCTGGTCACACCGTTAGGCACCGAGTAACCCAGGGCTACACAGCGCGCGCACACACACACACACACACACACACACACACACACAGATTTAAATAAGGGACAATCTTTTAATCAAAGATAGAAGTACAGTGAAGCCTGTGTGGAAGCTACCTGCAGGTGTGTGGGTGGCCGGGGGCTCCAGCACCGCCTCCTCCACCACACTGATGCTGTGACTGTGCATCACCTCCTGCAGCATGTTGAAGATTTCTTCAGCTCGAGAACATTTGAAGGCAAAAATACCTGAAGAAAAACTTGGTCTGTTGGTTTTTCATTCATATTGTCACAAGATGAGAAGAGACTTCAAACTAAACAATTGTTAAATAATGGTACCTTGACCGGTCTGACAGCGCCGGCCGCTCTCGAAGGAGAAGAGGTTAGAGTCGTAGCCATAGCGACGCAGACAGAGGTACGGCCACCTGACGTCGTCTCGGCGATGGGTGTGTAAGACGAGTTCAGAGTCAGTCAACTCCATCACACCCGAGCCCAGTTCGTTCCCATCATCGTCTACGTTTATCACCTACACAGGTACACAACAACCAGACAGTCAGACAGGTCGGCGACAAGGACAAATAGCTTCTGGTTCTGGAATGTAAACTAGAGTCCATAGGGACTTGAAACACTTGGAAGAAGAACAACGGTGTATGTAGGCCGGTCGAGAGATGCAATACATTGACTTATCGCACAATACATGAAAGTGAGTGCGATCATTTTGATGGTCTGATATTCATTTGACACATAAATCAACGTCATCAACATTTTAGTCGATCGCGCTTTCCTCTCGTCTGCTTCCATTGACGGGCTTTAGGCAGCACATACGCACACACCGAACCCACCGTGTTTATTTGTTTAAAAACAGTGGCAACTTTTTTTTTTCAGTCTAAATATTCTGACAAATAAAACTTCTTTGGAAGAGCGTATTTATTATTATTATGCTATTATATTGCTGACAGAAAGAGACTCAACAAGCTCATCAAGAAGACCAGGAGTGTGCTGGGTGTCCACTGGACATGGTGGAGGATGAGGACTAGGCGAACATCCCTGAGGAGCGACACCTCCCACCCCACGGTGGACGCCATGGAAGCTCTGCACAGCTCCTACAGCCAGCGGCTGATTTCCCCCCCCCCCGTGTGTGTGAAGGAGAGCCACCGCAGGTCCTTTCTTCCTGCTGCTGTCAGGCTGCACAACCAACTGTGCACCCAATGAACCACAGGACACTAGATCTCTGAAAACACAACGTATGCGCAATAAAGACGACAATGTGCAATGACCACTGCTACATATATTTATTCAGTACCGAGTATACTTTTATTTTTATGATTATCATGATACTGCTGCCGCGATGCTGTGAATTTCCCCATTGTGCAACTAATAAAAGGAATATCTTATGTTATTGTCATTATGTTATCAGTGGCATAAAGTGGTCTGAAAATTGCAATAATTTAGACCGGTACCGGTTTGTGGGCCGTACCACAGAAAGCTTATATATATATATATATATATATATATATATATATAAAAAATGTTTTTTCTGAAAATGTTTCATTTTGAAAATTGACCGGATTTTCTCCTGATTATGTGCGCTCGTCCCTCTGACAGATTCCCCACGCGTCACCAGGCATTTTTTCTTCACAACCTTCTCGTCCGCGAAATATTGTCTGACATGAAAATGGCCCGTGAGGTAAAAAAGGTTGGGGACCACTGTTTTACATGAATTGAGTTACGTGGTGTATGGTATTAATGGGGATAAAAGGTGTGTCCAAAGTTTAGTTTGGGAATTTTTTTGTTGAAAATTACACAAAAACTACTTCGAAGTGTTGTACACCGATGACTAATTAATTCCATAATACAACTAAAATAAACACCATTGGATCCATGACTCATTGTAGGTTTCTCCCCTACTCAGCTCCTGGCTTTCCCAGAATCACAGCTCAAGTTGTAGGACGATCTGGAACCTTTTCTGCGTTTCTAATGGGTGTGTATTGCGCGTGTGATGTCACCACAAGGTAAAGAGCAGCTTCCGAATCTTATAAAATATTTTTGTATTTTGTCAGTGTAACCGATGCATTACTCTTGACACGCATGATTTTCGGATAAAGAGGTAGGACATTTTGTCCTGGTCCTAGACGTGTGGCGATGGAATCTAACAGACTTACTTGGCTAGCACACCGGGGAGTGAGACAAAGTCCAACTCTCACGCCACTCACTCGAATGTAGATTTTGATGACTAACTCTGAAAGACAGCAGACCGTAGCAGCTTTTGAAACAGCCACCAGAGTCCTACACGCGACCGCAAAGACATAGTCGATCTCTGCGTTACCCAGAGGCTTGGGTCCCTCACAATGTCCTTATTTTTTATTGGACTGTAGATAGAAATCCCTGTTTTTAGTTATAGTTCCTGAGCGTATCATGACCATGCCACCTGGTGCAGATGTCTTCCATCACCATGACAACCAGAAACACACCAGCACTCACGGTGTCCCTCTGACATGTGACTTGGAGCTACTGAGTTGGAACTCTCAGACCGAGATCTTGCAAACCCCCCCCCCCCCCCCCCAAATCCCATCAACTCACCTTGAATTTACTTTGATGATTATCTGGAACTGATTCTTTCTCTGGACAGCTTAAGCAGCTACCCATGGCTTCTTCAGAGCACCATGTGATGTCTGTGACACAACAGCTGATTAGATAAGCATCAGATACAAGGCTTTCACAGGCGTTTCTCAGGTGACCTCCTCACCTAGATCCTGCCTCCAGTAGATCTGGTTCCATCCTCGGAGCCAGAGGGACTCTCGTGCCCGGGTTGGTTTGGAAACATGAACAGCAGCTCTGCAGAGACATATTAGAGGTCACATGACAGGAGATGTGTGACAGACATCCAGTTTGGCTCACTAATTCAGAATGAATTAACCGTTAACACACGTTTCACGTGATCTAGAGTTTAGCTGGTCCACCTTATCAGAGCAGGATGCAGCGTCATGGAGCAGGACACACACTCATACCCAGTGTTCCCAGTCAATAGTGTATGCGAGCGTCGGAAATACACGAGGGCAAAGGACGAAATTGCCCCTAAGAAATATATATTTTCCCCCAGCTATCATAGGGAGAGGGATAAAACATGACTGCATACTTTCCTGTAATAATAATGATAGTTTAATTAACTTGTCAAAAGCACCATAGCCTTCATCACCCGGTTCATTTGTCATAGAATGTTTCTGATTCTTCCTGTGAGTGTGTGCAGAGAGCAAATCCAGTGTCAGTCACCATCTCCAGCCCAAAAGAAAGAATCCACGCATCCTTGGCATGGAGGAAGACGACAAGAGAACCACCCGCATTTTTTTCAAGGCATGGAAAACTTGCAGACAACAAATTGCCAACGTTAGCAAGAGTGCCGTCAGTCAGAGATGTCTATTTGGGTAAAATACAATTAGTTGAAACTGCAGTTGACTCTGGGTTTCAAGGTTTATGTTTTGTTCTTGGCTTTTACAGAAGCACGGAGTAATGTTGAACTGTAGAAGCTGTGAATCTGATGCTTTACATATTGCTAAACACGAGAAACCCCAATGAAATAAAAATAAAATTGAATGAGTCCAATTTATGTTTTATGATTGCTTTTAATTTAAAAAAAATCAGAAAACTCTTTGAATCTGTAGACTACGGTCTTATTAATCCCACTTTATGACAATTGCATATATATAGTAAGCCAAAGTTCAGTATATACATTATTTTTTACATTAGGTCAAAAATTATTTCACAAGTTTAAAAAAATGCTCCCAATTTATTTTAAAAGGCCCGTTTTCGGTCAGTGGGGGCAAAAATTGCCCCCTAAAAAATATGTAAATTTCCTACTTGGTGTGTGTTCAGTGGTCCCAGTGAACAGTGAGTCTTCAATGTTCCCAGTTAACAGTGTTTACGTGTGTGTGCGCCCAGTGTTCCCAGTTAACAAAATGTGTCTTCCTAGTAAACAGTACGTCTGTGAGAGAGTGTGACACTGTGAATGACCCAAGTGTTCCCAGTGAACAGTGTTTATGTCTCCAGTGTTTCCAGTGAACAGTGTGTGTACGTGTTTGTCCAGTGTTCCAAGTTAACAGTGTACGTGTGTTTGTCCAGTGTTCCCAGTTATAGGTCCGACACAATCATCAGCTGACTAACTAACTAGCTAACTAACTAGTGTAACTTGACGCTAGCAGTGCGATGGCAGCTAGTTAGCTAAACGCTAAACTGACCGCTCAGTAAGCTAACACAGATTCCAGCTAACTAATTAGCTGCGATGCTAACTATCAGTTCCGTCCCAGGGACAGACGCTTTGTGCCAGCAAGCTGTCCCGTACCGCGATGGAGTAATAAACGACATACTTACACAGTCACAGTGACAGAATACAGGCTCCGAATCCAAACACACACGACCACCAGACGGACCACCAGCTAGCGTTATCCTGCTGCTACTCCAGCAGATCCTCCATCTTTCCTCTGCGCTGCTAGAGCGCCAAAAAAACAATCACAACTTCTTCCACGGGCGTCTAACGTTGTTGTTCGCTCAAATGAAACTCCGAAAAATGGTTTAAATCCATCGGTAGTCCTCCTTGGTTCACTGTACACGAAGGGCGTCCGTCAAAAATAACTTTTTTCTCTCAAAATGACGATCTTTCCGCCGCGGGACGGTGTTTCTGCCGCTAGCCTGTTGGGCTAAATCACTGCAACTTGGCTAAACTTCCGAGAGTTCAGCAGCTTCAATGTGGTGAAGAGCCGCAGTTTTGCGCATGCGCGGGCCGTGTGGTTTTGGAGAGCCGGGCCTCTCCCAGCGAAGGGATAATGAGTGACGTCATTTGGAAATATACGTGACTACTCTTTCATTATGCGTCAGCATGTATTCACGTCCTTTACCTCAGTACTAATACCACACTGTGATGTGTATTTGAAGTATCCATGTCCTTTGAAGTAAAACATGTACCTCTGAGATGTAGTATAGAGTACTATATGTACCACTGAGATGTAGTAAAGTATGAAGTGCAATATTAGTCAAGGGGAAGTACAAAAAATAGTACATCAATCTTGTACTTCAGTCCAGTGATGTTGGGGCAAAATCGGGTTTTTTATCAAGAATAAATCAGAAAAATACTTCTTCTGTGGTGTTTAATTAACTGCTCTCACATGTTCATTAAAAACAAAATACAGTAGATTTTTCTGAAAATATTTGATACATACATTCATAATTAAAGGAAATCATTTTACCTTCAAAACATTAATACATTTTGATCAAATATACGTACTTCCTTTTGTGTGATTATTTTATATAATAACTGTAATAACAGAAATCTAAAATACAACACAATAAAAACATAAGTTAGAAATAAATCTATATATAACGAAATATATACAAATACAGATATGAAGTAAATTTACAGTTCAGTTGAATATGAATTCTGCATTTTACATAAATAGCCTAGAATAGAATAGAATAGAAAGCATTGATCAATAGTCTAACATAACGATCACATTGATCATATTGATCAGTATAGAATCTTTAACGTCTGCAGAGGGTTTCTGTCGGAAAAAAAGATCAATATATTTATATGAAAAAACATAAATATATGTATGTAAAATAGATATTTTAACTGTAATGTCTCTATATCAGCTAAAGCTGTAGTTTGATGGTTAACAAGCTAAAGGTGTAGTTTGATGAGCTACAGGTGGAGTTAGATGGTTAATGACCTGAAAGTGTAAATTGATGGTTAACAAGCTAAACGTGTAGTTCAATGGTTAACAAGCTAAAGGTGTAGTTTGATGGTTAACAAGCGAAAGGTGTAGTTTGATGGTTGACAAGCTAAAGGTGTAGTTTGATGGTTAACAAGCTAAAGGTGTAGTTTGATGAGCTACAGGTGGAGTTAGATGATTAATGAGCTGAAAGTGTAAATTGATGGTTAACAAGCTAAACGTGTAGTTTAATGGTTGACAAGCTAAAGGTGTAGTTTGATGGTTAACAAGCTAAAGGTGTTGTTTGATGAGCTGCAGGTGGAGTTAGATGATTAATGAGCTGACAGGTGGAGTCTGATCGTTAGTGAGCTGAAGGTCTAAACTTATGGTTCACAAGCTAAAGATGTAGTTCAATGGTTAACAAGGTAAAGGTGTAGTTTGATGGTTAACAAGCTAAAGGTGGAGTTTGATGGTTTACAACGCCAAAGGTGTAGTTTGATGGTTACCAAGCTAAAGGTGTAGTTTGATGGTTGACACACTAAAAGTGTAGTTCGATGTTCGACGAGCTACAGGTGTCGTTTGATGGTTAACAAGCTAAAGATGTAGTTTGATGGTTGATGAGCTACAGGTGGAGTTTGATGGTTAACAAGATAAAGGTGTAGTTTGATGGTTAACAAGCTAAAGGTGTAGTTTGATGGTTGACAAGCTAAAGGTGTAGTTTGATGGTTGACAAGCTAAAAGTGTAGTTCGATGTTCGACGAGCTACAGGTGTCGTTTGATGGTTAACAAGCTAAAGATGTAGTTTGATGGTTGATGAGCTACATGTGGAGTTTGATGGTTATCAAGCTAAAGGTGTAGTTTGATGGTTCACAAGCTAAAGGTGTAGTTTGATGGTTGATGAGCTACAGGTGGAGTTTGATGGTTAACAAGCTAAAGGTGTAGTTTGATGGTTAACAAGCTAAATGTGTAGTTTGATGGTTGATGAGCTACAGGTGGAGTTTGATGGTTAACAAGCTAAAGGTGTAGTTTGATGGTTGATGAGCTACAGGTGGAGTTTGATGGTTAACAAGCTAAAGGTGTAGTTTGATGGTTGATGAGCTACAGGGTGGAGTTTGATGGTTAACAAGCTAAAGGTGTAGTTTGATGGTTAACAAGCTAAAGGGTGTAGTTTGATGGTTGATGAGCTACAGGTGGAGTTTGGTGTTTAGCAAGCAAAAAGGGTGTAGTTTGATGGTTGATGAGCTACAAGTGGAGTTTGTGTTTAACAAGCTACAGGTGGAGGTTGATGGTTGATGAGATACAGGTGGAGTTTGATGGTTAACAAGCTACAGGTGGAGTTTGGTGTTTAACAAGCTGCAGGTGGAGGTTGATGAGATACAGGTGGAGCTTGATGGTTAACAATCTAAAGGTGTAGTTTGGTGGTTAATGAGCTACAGGCGGAGTTTGATGGTTAACAAGCTAAAGGTGTAGTTTGATGGTTGATGAGCTACAGGTGTAGTTCAATAACCCCTTACCTCTTTCGGGCTTGTGGTTGACATTTGCATAGTTGGGGTAGAGGAGGTTCTCCTGCTCACAGTGGAGCTTCCTGGCTCTAAGAACGTCGTGTACACACTGATGGAGGTACGCATACTGACTCTGAGGAAAGGTGGAGGAAAAACTATGTCATGATATAGTATATTATAGTATAGTGTGGTATAGTATAACATAATACAATATATAGTATGGTATAATATAATAATACAGCTAATAGCGTATAGTAAAGCCTAGATTAGTGTGTAAATTGTATTGTAGAATAGTAGGTATACAGGGCTTGGACATTTAACATTTATGCTCACAAGCCACTGTAGCTAGGGCTTTTCCCAAGGTACGTAACCACTCAGCAATTTTATTAGCCACAATATTTGTTGTTGGTAAATTGAGTTTAATTTGATTAAAGTTGACTACGGTTTGCTACAATTTACTTGAAGAACAAGATTTACAATTTACCAAGTGTCTAAAGCTCCTTTTGTATGAAAACATATACAAATGATTTAGACAAAGACAAAAAGAGGAGCTTATTGTATATGTGCAGGAGTACTTTGTTGTCTTTGTCCGTTTTGTCCAGGGGTCTCAAACTCCGGCCCGCGGGCCACATCCGGCCCGCCGGGGCGTCCGGGCAGCGCACCCCTGACCGTAATGGTCTGGCCCGCGTTCGGTCGAAGTGGGCTGCATCTGGCACGCACCTGATTTGAGTTTGAGACCCCTGGTTTAGTCGTAATGCTTTTGACTTGGCCAACGAAGATGTCATGGTCCTTTATTGTTTCCACTGTGAAGTTGCTTGTCCCAACTACAAAAAAAGACCTTTCACTTCTGAACGTCCTACAATCAGTGCAACACATTATTCTCTTGGCTGGATCATAAACCAGCCGTTCTCGACTGGATCTCCATGTTTCGTTGAACAGTCTTTTCTTTTTCTTTGACTCTTCTTCATTTGTTTGTGGTTTCATCACCAGTTTTCCTCTTTTGTGTCTGTCCTCAGGGCTTTCCTACACCTGCTATGTGCACACGTGTACCCCACATCCGTGACTTCCACGGAGCAGGTCTCCTCAAGTTTTATAAAAAGCTTTCACCTGTCACGCGTGTTTGTGCGTCGATGTTGCTTAGTAACGAGCGCGCGCGATGTCCGATACGTCAGCAGGACAACTTGGGTTAAGGTCTAAGGAAGTGCGCTCTCCTCGCGGTCCACAGTCGGTTTAGGTGAACCACCGCTGCCACCAATGTAACAGAGCGTTCTGGATTCGTGGATGATGCGCTTATGACACATTATGGTATAACAGCACGTAATGCAACGTAATCTCACCTCCGTCTGCACCATGTGTGACCGGTGGAGTCGCAGGTCAAAGACTGAGCCGTAGATGTCCAGAACGTCTCTGGTGTCCAGCTGCTGCAGAACTCGATCCAGAACGATGAAGGTCCCCGTACGACCCACCCCGGCACTGACAAACACACCAGACCCCATTAAAGAAACACTGACTTTAACGCCCCACCACTTAAACACACACCAAACACTGATTAATAAAGTATCAAAGGACTTTGTGTCAGGATGGAGGTCGTAATTATTCAATGTTATATTCCTTTTGTAATGCACAGATGAGGACAGTTTAGTGGAGGTGGGCAGTATTTGCGTTCCTGTACCTGCAGTGTACCACTGCAGGTCCAGATCCAGGACTTCTGTTGATAAAGTCCCGCACAGTCCGCACAAACTGGATGAGGGAGTGAGTGTTCTCTGGGACTCCGTGATCCGGCCACACCGTGTAGTGGAACTGACGCACCAGTCGGGTGAAACTCAGCTGCTCCTCCTGACACGCCGACACACAAACATATACAAATAACAAATAACAAGTATATAATAAATAAGCATGTGTTAATTAATAACAATGAGCTCATTAGCAAGCATTATGTAAATAATAAAACATCATAGTCCTTTTCGATGACGTACGCTGCAGATCTTGAACTCTCGTATGGTCCACTCAGGAAGAACCGACTCTGACAACATTTGGACGATGAGGTCTCCGTAGTACAGAGGGTCCTGATCGAAGGGCCAGTAGTGGTCACACTTTACCTGCATACAGGTGAGGAAGGTTCAGTGTTGCTGAGGCTTCCCACAGAGTAATGGTTACCTTCATACTCACCCTGCCTTTCTCCACACACTGAGTGACCATCACTACGTTGTGGACGTTCTGCTCCCACAACATCTTCCAGAAATCATCTTTAGTTCCAGGAAGAGGACCCTGTGTTGCAATGTACTCCCTCCGAAAGTTATTACCCTGAAACATATAAGATGCAGAGAAACCACTGAAACATACAGGGAGCAGAGAAACAACAAACATACGGAGAGTGGAGAAAATACACAGCAAATACCGTCAAACATGGGCAGTCTAGCAGATGTAATCACAGCCCCCGGGTGTTGTATGAGAGAGGGGCCGATCAATGCTGCTTGCAGACACTAAACTAAATGTATAGTTAGTTTATAATCACACTAAATTAAATGTATAGTTAGTTTATAATAACACTAAATTAAATGTATAGTTAGTTTATAATCACACTAAACTAAATGTGTATTTAGTTTATAATCACACTGAACTAAATGTATAGTTAGTTTATAATCACACTAAACTAAATGTGTATTTAGTTTATAATCACACTAAATTAAATGTATAGTTAGTTTATAATCACACTAAACTAAATGTGTATTTAGTTTATAATCACACTGAACTAAATGTATAGTTAGTTTATAATCACACTGAACTAAATGTATAGTTAGTTTAAAAATCACACTGAACTAAATGTTTAGTTAGTTTAAAAATCACACTGAACTAAATGTTTAGTTAGTTCATTATTACACTAAACTAAATGTTTAGTTTGATTAAATATACTGTACTTAGTTACTCTCTGAAACAAGTACTTGGAAAGAAACGGAGGAAGTGGAGCTCCTTCTTAGAGATCAGCTGGTGGAGTAATCAATAAATAAATCAATAAACCATCCTACAGGCATGTAGCTGGCGTTGATGTAGTCGGACCACGGATCATCATCCACGTAGGAAAGCTTCACCCTGGTGGAGTCATCTGGAAACAGAAACACTGTGAGCACCACAGAGGAAGAGTCTTCTTCTTCCCTTTGTGTTAATGCGGCTCACTCACAGGGCAGGATGTTGTTGTACCGGTTCTTGCCGCGGTTCTCCGGTAGCAGAGCAGAGTCCAGTGGCTGATTACGACCAACATCTTTCAGATCCTGAAGAAAACAACACAAAAGGACGTGGGAAGTAAATATTTCAGTGTACGTCCTACACATTTGGAGTAAAGTTTTGTCAGTATTGTTAAATCATCAGACAGTCTGCTAATGTAATGTAATAATGTCTCTCTGTTTCTCTTTATAATATGTAAAGTTTCACATCATCACCTCCTCTATAATATGTAAAGAATGACATCATCACCTCCTCTATAATATGTAAAAAATGACATCATCACCTCCCCTATAATATGTAACAAATGAAATCATCACCTCCTCTTTGTAATATGTAACTTATGACATCATCATCTTCCCTTGATAATATGCAACTACGACATCATCACCTCATACTGCTCCGAGAGCAGGTAGTTGGAGTCGGCCTGCAGTTTGTTGTAGTGACTCTCAAAGTTCACAATCCTGATCGGACTGAAAGACACACAGACAAATATTTCAACCAAAAGACAAATTGATACAACTAAAAGTAGAGGAGAAGAAGTTTGATATTCTCACCTTGAGACACGACGGTTTCTGAGGAATACAAGGAGGAAGTATATTAAGATCTGTAGGACGGCTGTTCACATTTAACTATTTATAATATCTCAATTTCTTTTTAGAACTCCCAGTATAATCAGTGGTGTACTACAGTAGTATTGTCAGTGTTGGTATAAAGTATTATCAGTTGGTTAATACAGTAGCATTCTTAGGGATATTATGGGGCATAATAAGCTCGGTACTACAGTAGTAGTATTATATTTTATGCAGTCCCCTTACCCTCTGGCTCCCAGGTGGACTCCTGATGTTGTTGTCTCTCTTCTCACATTCATTCTGACTGCCGATCTGTCTTGAACTCTAAAACACAGCAGCATCACACAGGAGATGTCACCTCACTTGAGGATGGAGCAGCATGTTTATAAAGAACACACCTGTGCTGGCATCGAATCAGAGGACAGACACACAATAAGTACCGTTTCTATTGTTAATGAGGAGGTTTGTAGTGTTACAATCCAGTAAAGAGCAGCACAGGTATGACCGTAATGAATACTGTTATTAGTGTTAGTGAGGAGTTTTTTTCATGTTCAAATCAACTGTCAAACTGGCATCATCGTGAAGGCTGAGACTCCCTGATGGCAGCCTGTAATTTGAAGGAACATTAGTGTCCGCAACCTCCTGCCTTTCAGGGCGTCAGTTTCTGGAGACTCACAGTTTGCGAGCAGCTCGTCTGTAGAGCAGTACAGCGGTGACTCCCACCAACATGAGTATGAGAAACATGGCGGCACTGATGCCTTCCATAACACCGCTCAGGGGCTCTGAAGGAAGGAACAATGGAGGCTGTCAACCACAGACACATAAAGCTAGAAATGATAATAGATCATATTATCTTTCTCTCACCTGCCTCGGTGACCACAGGCAGTGACAAGAAAGTGTCGCTGTACAAAGGAGAGCTGAAGTCCTTCATGTCTTCATCAAACAGCTGAGTGAAGGCTCGGATGCTGAGCCTGCAGAAACAGATACTGGGAAAATTAAACTACTACTATACTTCTGGAGTATTCATTCAAATCATTTAATCATTATACAACTAACCTCTTGTTAAGAGTTTCCGATTCTCTTTGAATATGACCATAGCATCTTTATACCTTATGACTCTTTTACACAAGTTATGGTTGTTAGAAATAAAAGTTGAGAGCAGTAATTATTACTATTTTAATATTAGGAATATTGATAATGATAATCATTAGGAATAATATTGAAGTGAATAATAATTATTAAAGTAAGTATTATCATTGAAGCAATATAACTAATAAATAATAAATATAAGTAATTATAATTACCATCATTATTACTAAAATAAGAATAATGTTAATAATAATAGAAGTCTTTATATTATTCAAATGATTATAATATTATTCATCTAATCATTATTATTATTGTATTTAATATAATCTAGTATATAGTTTTGACGTTATTTAATTTTTTGGAATGAAATATTTTTTGTGGGGATTTGGCTCCATACAGTACCTGTAGGAGGTTCTGGGCTTCAGTGGTCCGTCACAGAAGAGGTTCAGGTCTCTCCTGGTCTCTGGATCCAGGACTGACTCACGGGGGTCACAGGGACCACCCAGCGAGTCCATCCCTGAGCCCACGTTTATCTCCAAGCCAATGGAGCCGATGTCGGGACCCTCAGAACAGCGGCTGGGGAAGAAGCCGGTCTGGTAGGATTTGATGGAGCTATTGTATTTATAGTGGAGGTAGGAGGGGAGGGGGTGCCGCTGGTCTGGCTGTTCCTCATCTCCTCCTTCACACGCAGAACCACGTATTCATACACAAACACAGATAAAGGTACAAATATCCACACTAAGCTCTATATTTAAATGAATACTTCTCCCATAATGAATATTTGCTACAACTACAGGATTGTTGACTGCTGCAAATGTGACACATTCAGGTACCACGGGAAAAAACGTTTTTTTTGATCAACAGGTAGGAGAAATAGAAGAAGGTCCAAGAATCAATAATACCATACATGTGTATATGTATATACCTTGAGACTCGGCCACCACCACCGTGAAGAACCTGATGGCTCCATTGACGTCACTGAACCAGCTGCAGTTAAACCTGAAGAAAATGGAGGACCTGGTGACCACGGCGGTCCGGTCACTGATCCGGGTACTGGGGGGCGGCACCGGAGGACCTGAGGACCCATTGAAGGGGGTCACAGGTTAACGTTAGATCACTTCCTTTAGAACTTCAGAAGGGTGTCGCCGTCCTTACGGTCAATCATGGTCACCACACTCTCCCGGGCCTCCTCACTGGTGGTCTGGTCCGAGATCACCTTCACAGAGACAACGTAGTGCTTGTGTGGCTCCAGCTGGGTGATCAGGTAGGAGACGGAGTCTCTGCCAGTTCTACGCGAGTAGACGAGAACCCGTGATTCCTGGTGAAGACACTCAATGGTGTAGGAGTCAAAGTCGGCCTCCGGGGGCCCCCAGGAGCAGCTGATAGAGGTGGAGCTCTGAGGCCGGCAATGGAGGCTGTGGACCCGCTCCGGCTCTGAGTGGAATACAAGTGCAAGTAGTCACAATTTGGTAATACGCACATGCAGGGAACTTGTAATAAATGTAGTATACAACAGAAACATCTGAACATAATCCAATAATTAGCTATTGTTTGTAAACTACAGTTATTCACAGGGGGGCTGGAGTCAATCCCAGTTAACTGGGAGACAGGGTACACCTTGGATTGGTCGCCAGCAAATCGCAGGGCTAAATCGCAGGGCTAACAGAGACAAACAACTATTCACATACCTACAGGCAATCTAGCTATACCAATTAACCTAACGCCCAGAGTGCATCTTTGGACTGTACCCACTGAGAACCCGCGCAGACTCCACACAGAAAGGCCACTGGGAGGAGCCAAACCCAGGCCCTTCTTGCTGTGAGGCGACAGTCCTGACCACCACACCACCGTGCCGTCTACATTCATCATTAGTATTTTTATGAATATTCTTAATATTCTTCTTCCACACTAATCTAATGGTTTGTGTATCCATAAATCATCTCCCTGCAGTCTGTGGTCCTTTAAAATGATGTTTGAGATTTTCGGTCTGATAATCTTATGATTCATTGATTAGAGATTCGAGATTCGAGATCGAGCAGAAACGACACCGCAGAAAATATCCTGGAACATATAGGCATAAGAACAGAATCAAACTTTAGCTTGTGAAAGTTAAATATCTGTATCTACTGCATAGTTGGGTATTTTTGAAAATGTAATCCTTTGTTTCCTTGTTCATAATCTCAATTTTCATCTGCTATTAAATGTCTATTTTTCATGACCCAATGTAGGTCAGCTAAAATTAGATTTTTTACTTTCAGATGGTGTTTGAATTTGGGAATCTTGCCTTCTAAGAAACTTTGAAGCAAAAGTGCTGCCACCTACTAGTCCGGATGCTGCCGTGAATGGCTGTGCTGTAGGTGGGCGTGGCCTTGCCCATTGTAGCCCCACCCACGGAGCCACTGATGCTGCGGAGGCTGAAGGTGTATAGCCTCCCCGGGAACATGCCCCTGAGGATGCGACTGCCAGAGGTACGGCTATGGTACGGGTCGATGACGGACAGCCGGTCTCGAGGTATCCACTGCAGGTCAAAGTCATCGAAGTCGGAGTTGACCGGGCCACTCCATGTGACCTCCAGTGAGGTGTTGGTGACCGCCCCGAACAGGAAGGATTTGGGAGGTTTGGGAGCTGAGGAGGACAGAAATCAAGCATCAAGTAAGAATCTCCTTCAGTTGAGAACCTCTGAACTCTGACTCTACTATGACGTCATATTATATGATATATGTTATTACATGATATTCTAGGCTTTGTGATCTATAATAATCTGCAGTATTATATATTTTATGATATTATATGATATACTGTAATATACTGTACTGAAAGTCTAGGATATTTGAACACCCGTAACGTCCCATGAAATTCTATGACATACATGCCTCCCATTACCTCCGATGACCCCCTATGACCCTCAATAACATCTTACCAGTCCTCCCCAAGGTGCTGGCTCGGTTGCTGAGCCCCCCGCTGAGACTCAGCACCTCTGCTCGGTAAAGTCGGCCCGGCACCAAATCTGAGAAGACGAACCCCGTGGCCTCAGAGCCTACTTGGTGCTCTGCCCTCAGAGCGCCTTCGGGGTCGTAGAGAGATAGCAGATACCCGCTCAGATCTCCACTGCCTCGGCCCCAGTCCACCTGCAGAGCGTCGGACTGGTTCCCACCATGAGCTCTCAGGGACACCACGGCTGCTGGGACTGTGCAGGAGAGGGAGGACGCGGGTTTGAATCCCAGCCTTTAAAAATAAAAAAAACTAATGCTTCTGCACGACTCATGAGAAATCAATGTTAAATTGTAAGAGTACAATACTAACCCTAACCCCCTCAAAAAATCCAACATGGCGGAGAGACGTTCACTCAAGAATCCAACATGGTTCGCCATGTTGTTTACTCAAGGGGCGTGGTTAACCACCGCCACTTCGTGTGTATTGTTACAAATTTGTATGTTCAAGATTTTCGTATACATTTTTACGAACAGGTTTTGGAGATCACGTTGGAGAAACACTCATGAGCGCCTCATGTGCTCAGACCTTTAACCAAGGAGCAACACTGGCTTCTGAAAACATCCATATTGGATTAAACAACAAATCGGCACCAACTCCTTGGGGTTTTAACCTGATTAGTACTTCTACAAACCCCCCCACCTCACCTGTCCGGGCCCAGACAGCTGACTGGCTGGTCAGCTCCCCGCTCTGGGTCACCACCACCACTCTGTATGGGGCCCCCGGTCTGAGGCCCTGGAAGGAGACCTGCTGAGTAGTGGACTGGACGAGTCGTCTCTCCTGCAGCGACTCGTCGCTTTGATACAAGAAGCCATTGTAGGAGTCAAACTCGCCGTCCGGTGGAGACCAGCAGAATGAAAGGTAGGTGGTGCTGTTGGCTTTGATGGAGAGATCAGTGACAGGAGCAGGACCTGATGGGGAGGGAGGGAGGGGGGTGGTGGGATTTCACTGTGTTGTATAACATAAAGTCTTACACATTCTTTATTATGCTTTCTCTACAAATTACAACTTACAACAAATCTTTTAATTTTGTCTTTTTGTTGTAAACAGCTTTTATGTCTTTTTTTCTAAAATAATAATAATTAAGTATAATAAACTATTCAGATATTCAGACCATATGTGCGTTTTGTACTCATATGCAGGATGTCTCACGTGTTCGAGCCCCGGTGCTGACTGCCCGGCTGTGGACCCCCCCACTGGTGGTCTGGACCAGGACCCGGTACCTCTTTCCCGGGATGAGCCCGTGGAACTTGAACCCGGTGAGTCCGGAGGGCTGAGAGCAGTTGGTCAGCACAGCGCCCTGCTGGTCCAGGAGCTGCAGAACGTATCCGTCAGACACGCCCAGAGCTGCCTGCCAGCTCACCTGAAGGCCACAGGAGAGGTGAAGCTCCTCCACCTGGAGAGCCGTCACGGCCAAGGGCACTTAGGACACAGGGGGTGGGGGGGCGGGTCAGTACAAGTACACAAGTGAATGACATGTTTCATAGTTAAACTATTATCTGTACACACGTGTATAAGTAGGACAACATCATGTTTCATCAGCTTCAGCTAAAGTATAATCTGTGTAATACCTGTGGAGTAGAGTGTAGTATGTAGTAGTACGGTGTAGTACCTGTGTAATAGAGTGTAGTATGTTGAAGTACTCTGCAGTAGTACTATGTAGTACCTTTGTAGTCGAGTGTAGTACTTAGTAGCACTGTAGTACCGGTGTAGTAGAGTGTAGTATGTAGGAGTATGGTGTAGTACCTGTGGAGTAGAGTGTAGTATGTTGAAGTACTCTGCAGTAGTACTGTGTAGTACCTTTGTAGTAGAGTGTAGTACGTAGTAGCAATGTGTAGTACCTGTGTAGTAGCGTGTAGTATGTTGGAGTACCTGTGTAGTAGAGTGTAGTATGTTGGAGTACCTGTGTAGTAGAGTGTAGTATGTTGGAGTACCTGTGTAGTAGAGTGTAGTATGTTGGAGTACCTGTGTAGTAGAGTGTAGTATGTTGAAGTACCTGTGCGCCCCGTGGCCGTGCTGTTGTTAACCAGCTCTCCACTGACCGACTGCACCGTCACGCGGTACTTCTGTCCCGGCTGCAAGGAGCCAAACGACACCTCGCTGTGGTGTTTGAGGACGGTCCGGACGTCGAGCTGTCTGTCTTCTTGGGACAGAGACACGGAGTACTGGTCCACGTCGCCTTGACCGGAGGTCCAGCTCACCCTCAGACTGCTGCTGTCTCCACTGTTACTGATGTGAATGTTCTTCACTTTACTGGGAACTAAAGAGGGAAAAAGACACGTATAACCTTTGACCTTCTGCCCTACAAGAGTATGGAGCTCTTTATAGTAGTATATGTCTACATTATACATCTATATATGATTCACAATAGCTGTATGGACGTGAAAAAGAAGGAGCAGAATGTTGTAGTGTTTTTACACTGTCTTGCAGAGACAAGGAACACAAATAACAGAAACACTACCCACTGTATTCATGTCCATAATAACACTGTAACACTATAATACTGCAACACTCTAACATTATAATACAATAACATTGTAACACTGCCATTGTAATACTATCACATCATAACAATATAATGCTGCACCGCTCTAATACTGCAACACTCTATCACTATAATGATAAAACACTAAAACATTGTAACACTATCACAGTATAATAATATTACACTAACACTATACTAATATAACAATGTAACACTATAACATTATAACACAATCACAATCACTGTAACACTAAAACCCTGTAATACTGCCACACTAACATTACAATACAATAGCATTGTAAAACTGTAACACTGTAACGGTATAACAATGTAACACTGTAATACTGTAATACTATCACCCTCACCCACTATCACCCTATAATACTGTAAGGTTGATAGCTATAACACTACCACACTATATAATACTATCAGAGTGTAACACTATAACATTGCCACACTCCTTCAGTATAACTACCATACCCTTCCCCTTCCCTCCTCATCACAGCGGCCTGACCTGTGCGGCCCTCGATGAACTGGGCTCTTTGGTTGGGGCCGCTGAAAGTAGAAACCAGGATCTTGTAGAGGCGTCCGGGTGTGAGTGATGACAGCAGACACTCCCCCACGCCGCTGCCCAGAGTGATCGGAGGAAGCACCTTCATGTCGTTGAACAGCAGCTGCACCTCGTAGTGATCCACGTCACCCGGGGCGGCGGACCACGCCACACGCAGGTCCTCTGTACCCCGTCCAGCAAGAACCAGGGACCGGACGGCTGCTGCAACTGAAAGATGGGAGCAGAGAAAGTGTTGGCCAGCTGACTCTGTTCTGGTAACAAGGAATTAAACTCAGACGCAGATATGATTCCATGGCCAGGAAAACACATTCAAAATAATGCCATGTCTTCATAGAGCTAACCTCTCCCCTAACCCTAAATGTTTACATACACCTGCTGACCGTACACAACAAGTCAAAGTTGACATGAAAACAGTGGAGACGACTGCACAAAGCAGCTGTGGGTCACGAATATTCTCCTCGTCACTTCACATGTTGGCGTTTGTGTATCAAAGGTTACTCACAGGTCCGGCCGTGAGTGGAGGCACTGGTCTCGTACTTCCCACTCCATGTGCTCACCAGCACGGTGTAGAGTCGGCCGGGCACCAGGCCCTTGAACACACACTCGTTCTGCGTCTTCAGAACCGTCTGGTTCTGCAGGAACAAGTTGTTGTATTTGATGGACACCTGGTAGAAATCAAAATCTCCAGACGCTTGACGCCAGTACACCTTCAGGTAGTCATCGCGCGCTGCGTGGGTCGCTGTCGGGTTCTGGACTTGCGACGGCTCTGAGGAATGACAGGGTGAAACATAGAACACTTCATAGATCACTAACATACATATTTACAATATAAGAGAATACCTTCTAATGAATCATCTGTAATTTCATTGTGCATTAAATCTTTTAGATTCAAAGTAGTTTTTGCTATTTTTCAGTCATGATGCATTGCTAATCCAGTCTAAGATCCTTGATGAAGCCTTTCCCGTTCAAAGGCAGACCTGCAGTCGGCAGAATGGCCAACAGGAAGACCTGGAGACAGCTGACCCAGTGCGTGAGGTACGTACGCGTTCTCTCCTGGATGAAGGTGTGGTTTAGGTGGGGGCCACTGCGGGAGGCAATGGAGATGTTGTAGAGACGTCCCGACACCAGAGAGTTGAAGACACAGTCTTGACTGGATTTAGACACCGAAACGGTGTGAAGGGTCCTCTGCCGGTCACTCAGCGTCACCAGGTAACCGTCCAGCTCCCCGGGGGCCGGACGCCACGACACGCTCAGGAAGTCCATACGGCCGTTGTTACTCACTGTGACCTCACCCACTGCAGCTGGGGCTGAGGGGGGGGGGGGGGGGGTTAAGACACATATACACCACCAGTCTCTAATGCATCAGCTCGACTAGTCTTCTTCAACCACCTAAATTCACCCACAGTAATCCGTTCACTGGTTACCAGTCCGCTCCCTTTACTGGTTACCAGTCCGCCCCCTTTACTGGTTACCAGTCCGCTCCCTTCCCTGCTTACCAGTTATCTTCCTCTACTAGTTATGTTAATAATGTTGTTCACTCAAGGGGCGTGGTTAACCCCCGCATTTCGTATGTATTGTTACGAACTTGTATGTTCAAGATTTTCGTATACATTTTTACGAACAGGTTTTGGAGATCACGTTGCTGTAAAGACCTCTGAGGCAAATTTGGGATTTCGGGCTATACAAAATAAAATGAACAGTATTGAATTCATGAAGTAATATATAGTAATAATATACCAATAATTAAACAAATGAACATATGAATGAATGCATCAAAGAAAGGATAGAAAAATGAATTAATGAATCAAAGAGAGCATTGACGTGATGGCTTACCCGTGCGTCCCTCTGCCACAGTCTGTCTGGAGGTCTGTCCAGCTTTGACGCTGGTCAACACCACCCTGTACAGAGTTCCTGGCCTTAGAGCCTGGAAGCTGATGCCGGTGGCATTGGCCGACACACTCTCGTTCTTGATGACGCTGCTGTCCTGGACCAGAAGTACGCGGTACGAGTCTGGGTCACCGGTGCCTCGATCCCACCACGTCTGCAGGCTGTCAGTGCTGCCACCGCTTGAGACCTGCAGCCTGTTAACCTGAGCTGGAACTAAGAGGACAGGTAGAAACGTTATACACTGACTCCATCTTTGTGTCTGGACAGAGTGACTGCAGACCACCAGCAGATTTTCTATAAACTTGCAAGTGGTGGCTGACTGGTGGGTGTTGGAGGTGTCAACCTGTTACAAGGACATATAAATCAGACGTACTGGTCCAGGCGGTCACAGAGGTAGAGTTGGTCAGGTCAGCACTGTTGGTCGTCACGGTGACTGCGTACAGGCGTGCTGAGGTGAGGGTGTTGAAGGTACACTCGCTGGCCTCTGAGGGGAGGCTCCTCTGAGCCACGAAAGTAGCATGGTCCACCTCTCTCAGTACCACGGTGAAGCCATCCCATTCACCATCTGGTGGACTCCAGAAGACGCTCAGAGACGTCTCATCAGCGTGATGGACGAGCAGCTGCTGAACGGAACCAGGGGCTAACGGAACGGTACCAATAAAACAAATTATTATTCAGTACAAGAATCAAAAGATGTTATTCATAACATAAGTGTTTATGTCCGTATTCTTTTGTTTCACTAAAAGACAGAAAGTGTGAATGTAAACTCACCCAGTCGTCTATGGCAGCGAGCAGTGTTACCCAGAATGCCACTATGGACCGTGACCTCAGCCCCGTAGAGTCTACCGGGCACGAGACTAGGGAGGGAGAAGAGGTGCTCGGTTCTCAGTTTACTGATGGTCTGATTTACCAAAACCGACAAACCGTCCCTCAGCAGGACACTGTAGTTATCCCAGTCTCCTCTGGGGGGCGACCAGCCAATCCTCAGAGTCCTGCCGTCACTGAGAGGCGTCATTAAGAGAGTCGATACCAACTGAGGGACTGAAACATGAGGGAGAACTATCATTAAAACAAAGACTACACACTGAAATATATTCATGGTGTTGGAGAACATGTACCTGTGGTCCCGCTGGTACATGTCTCTGAGCTCAGTCCTCCAGCAATGGTCTTGATACACAGCCAGTAGCTACGACCGGGGATCAGACCATCAAAGACCACCCAGGTTGCGTTGAGAGGCAGACTGCGCTCCTGGGCGGCCGACCCCTTAGCCAACAAGGTTGCCAGATAGACGTCCACGCCTCCTTCAGGTGACACCCAGGAGGCCTGTAGACTGTCTGAGCTGCCGTTGTTGTTCAACCTCAGATTTGAGACCGGTGCTGGCACTGTGTGTGTGGGGGGGGTAAGAGGGATTATAGGTATAACATTATATTACCATTCTTTCTTATTCTCCGGTTTTCCTCATTCTCCACTGAGGTGGAATTCATTATGGGGTTTCTCTCTTTATTATTAACAATTAATATATAATTAGTGCTGGGCAACGATTGAAGTTTTTAGGTGTGATTAATTGCATATTTTTTTCTGATTAATCATCATTAAGAAACCATGCAAAAAACAACAATGCGATTAATATTGTGATCAATAATGCGATTAATTATGTGATTAATCACTATATATATATATATGTTTTCATTCATTTAATTGAATCTCAGAGTTTGCTGTTTCACATGTTGAACAGAAATTAGGATGTTCACTCAGATTTCTACCTGTTATGGCCTGTTTGGAGGTGGAGCTCGTCAGACCGACAGCCTCTGCAACAACTGTGACGGTGTAGCGTGTTCCAGGCTGCAGTCCGTCCAGCTCGGTGGACGTCACAGTGTTTGGCAGAGTGAAGTTCTTCAAAGGAATCCGGTCCTGATCCATCAGCAGAACCCTGAAACGCTCCGATCTGCCCGGACCACTTCGCCAGGACACATGGAGGCCAACTGAGGACAAGGACGCCACCTGAATGCCAAGGACGCACGACGGAGCTAAAGGACAGACACACAGGGTTACCCTGGTTATGTACCTATATTCTTACATATTCAATGAGGATGTTTTAAAGGTGTCTCGTATCAGGTTTAAGACAGTTGGTTGGTCTTCCTGAAGGAGTGTCCATGTGTATCTCACCTGTAGAGGCCATCCTGTGGACAGGTGGAGCGCTCTTGTTCCCAGCTGAAGCCACCACGCTGACATTGTACAAAGTCCCAGGTATAAGAGAGCTGAAGCCAGACTGGGGTATTGCAGAGTCCATGATTCTGGTCCTGAGGGTGGTTCCAGAGCTGGTGTTTTCCAGAATGACATCATACCAGTCCACATGACCTGCAGAACGAGACCAGGACACCCGAAGGCCTGGAGAACCACTCTGGACCACGGACTGGCTTTCATACTGAGTCTGGACCTGGTCCAGCTGGAGTTCTAAGTGAGCCGGACCCACTGGGTCTGAGAAAAAGAGTGGGGGATGAAATGTGTTAAAAACATACATTTTATATCTCTATAACACACAAATAGGCCTCAAGATATTATTGTATTTGTTTGTTTGTGTTGGTGTGTGTGTGCGTGTGTGTGTGTGTGTTGTGTGTGTCTGTGTGTTTGCGTGTGTGTCTCAGAAGGATTAAGAGTGATAGTTGATAAGATTGTCTAAAAGACATTTTCATGGAACAGGAAACACAGACTGAACTATGACCTTCTGTTCCTAATGTTTCCTCCCTGAGGAGACAAACAATGTTATTCTATGAACAAACAATGTTAACCCTATACATAAATAAGTTTAAACTCTACTAATAAACAACCTTAAACACTATGAACAAACAACACTCCAAAGACAAGTAAAAGTCCAAATATCACAACATGAAAATAATTTTGCACGAGAAAAAGTAGTAATACCATACTACAGTATATTTAAAACCTGGTTAGTTGGTGGCCAGCTCTGTCAGCATTAGAATGTAACTGCACCTCTCTGTCTGTGTTGAACGTCCCTTTATCTGTCTGCTGTCACCTGTCTGTCGGTCTTGAAATCGACCCTCGTCTACCTGCATACGTGTCCCTTTTGATGTTTGACCAATGTATAGATTCCACATACTCCGCATTCTTTAGTGTTCTGTGCCTCTGACATGGATGTTTCCTTTTGTTTTCCTTTTCTTCTTTCTTTAACAACTGCAGCATAGTATTGTTTTCAGTCCATGTTCCTGTTTTAACAGTCATCCCTCATTTTATTTTGCTGTGTGTGTGTGTTCACTTTGAGAGCCTCTGTGTCGCATGTCGTGTTTGTACTTGACTATGTATAGAGGTTTTATTCTCACTTTTGTCATTGTTTGTGCACGCATTGTAAAGCGTCAATATTGTTTAACATTTAAAATGTAATCTTATCTTCTGCTTTTAGGTTTATTTTGTAACATGTGCCAATTGGAACTACAGATGAAAAATAGCCTTTTGGCTAACTCTGGCACATTTACAGAAATCCTTTATTAATGTGGACTGTCCCTTATCAAAGAAACCATTAAATATTAAGCTTTAAGCTTTTTTCTATCTGTGAAGTAAACCTTTAGCGGATTTTTACACAAACGAAACCATTGAGAGAAAGTTAAAGCTTACTACTAAAGACAACTTAGTTAATAATACTTAATACATAAGAAGGAAATTGTTAAGGAGGAGCTTCACAGCTAACAATGATAAGATATTTAACTCACCTGTGCGCACCGAGCAGCGTATCCTCTCTTGGTCCTCATTGGACGTCACAGTTAAATGGTACAAAGTCCCGGGATCCAGATCTGTTACCCGACAGGTAAAGATGATCCCAGAACTTCCCTCCCGGTCACACTCAGAGGCCTCAGTCCGAGAGTCCTCAGACAGGCTGAAGGAGCAGGAGACACTGTTCGTGGTGAAGGTCACCACCACGGAGCTGGAACTAGGGTGGACCTCAGTGAAGTTCATGGAGCAACGAGAGGCCTGAAACAGGAACCAGAAGTATTATCTTCATTATTAATACTGCTATTATTATAAAGATATTAGTAATTATAATATTATTATTTTCATTAATATTACTATTTATTATTATTGCCATGGACACAAGGCTGCTGATGTACACTAACCTTCTGTATTGTGTAACTCTTTTAGTTCTATGGGTTTTTTATAAGACGTGTTGAGAACACATTTCGTTTGTTGCTATGGAAGTTAACATTATATAGTATTATACATGTATAATATACATATAATTACAGTAAATGTAGAACAACGAGAATACTAACAGGTGGAGAGGTGGTCGATGATAGGGTTGTTGGTTGAGGTGCAGTTGTAGTCAAAGGAGAAGGAGAAGTTTTTGTCGTTCTGGTAGTATTTGGCGCTACAGGTGTTGTACTGGTTGTACTGGTTGTGGGTGGAGTTGTGTTGATAGTTGTTGTCATGGCTCCGTGGATTACAGATGCTGTACCGGAAGTATATGTTGTTACAGGGATGGTAGTGGGTGGGGTTGGAGTTGAGGTTGTTCTGGTTGTTGTTGGAGCTACAGGTGTTGTACTGGTTGTAAGGGTGGATGGAGTCGCGGGTGGAGGGGTGTTGATAGTTGTTGTCATGGCTCCGTGTTCGTGGGTTACAGATGCTGTAGTGTAAGTATTTGTTGTTACAGGGATGGTAGTGGGTGGGGTCATTCTTGTTGTTGTTGGAGCTACAGGTGTTATACCCATTGTACTGATTGTACTGATGGGGGTGTTGTTGGGTTGAGTTGAGATAATGATTCTTCCTGAAGACACCGGCCCAGCTGATGGAGATGTGCGTTGAATACCTTCAGTCTCTGAGACCTTCATATGAACAGTAGAGACAGTTGTCAGCGGCGGGGATGTTCTGGGTGACCTCTGGGAAATCGTTGTCAGGGGCTCCTGAGTTGGTGGAGGATATATCTCCATGATGGATGTAAGGAAATATTTTGTGTGAAGGCACCTGAGCAGTGTGGGGGGGAGGCGTAGAGGTGGTAGATGCAGGAGAAAGTTTCTTGTCATGCATTGAATTTGTTGTATAAGTCGAGTCTTGATTTGATTCTGTGTCAGAAACCGCAGAGGAATGAACAATAAAATCGGATGGGACCTCAGACGAGATGCTGACCGCGGAGATGATTGGATCCTCTGAGGTGATCTCAGACTTGATGTTGACCTCAGAGGTTACAGGTACCACAGAGGTGTTCTCAGACGAGATGCTGACCTTGGAGGTGATTGGATCCTCTGAGGTGATCTCAGACTTGATGTTGACCTCAGAGGTTACAGGTCCCACAGCGGTGTCCTCAGACGAGGTGGTGACCTTCGAGGTAACCGTGACCTTGGAGCTACCCAGAGGGTTAGTAGTCTCTGAGAAAGCAGTGAAGGAACCCAGAGTCACAGCTGTAGTTTCTGACTTAGGATCATTGCTAATTGAGGCTGAGAATGCAGTAGAGAAGTCTCTGTTTCCTGATGTCGTTACGGCTTTCGTCCTAAGCTGAAGGGTATTTGTAGTAGACAGACTCCTGGAAACGTTGTAGGATTTCAAAGAGGTGAATGCAGTCGGACTCGAGGAAACAAAATGGCCACCGGTTGAAGCTGACAGCTTTGTGACTGAAGTTGAAACCTCAGGGGTAAAGTGTGTATTGGTTGGAGGTTTGGTGATGTGGTTCACGTATGTTGAGTCTGAGCTGAGGACCTCTGAGGACGTGAGTTGTCTAGCCGTCCGGTGGCTCTTTACTGTGTTGGATCCTCGCTGGTTAGTGAAGGTCACGGCAGGACTAGTGATGGAGTAGGCTGCAGTGGAGAGTCCCGTCTGTTTAAGGGTGGATGAGTAGAAGGTGGAGATGGACGTGGTGTCTGAGAAATTAGGAGAAAAAGACTAGAGTGAAATGGAAATTAAAACGTCTACATACAAAAAGGAACCTGAAACCCAGAGATAAAAAACATCGATAAACATCGATCGAGAAACATCTGCAGACCACATTGTGTCCTACTGAAGATACGGATTATAGGGAATAATTAATTGTTATGCTAACATTCCAGTGTTGTTGTTTTTAATTATTGTTCATTGTTTTTAAACAAAGTGACGAGCTCTGAACCAATTAAGCACAGATTGGTAGGAGAAAACTGATCCAGATATTGTCTGCAGAGACAATCTAATAATGACGTTGCCTAAAACGCCTCATTGTTCATGGAATACAGGGAAGTGAACCTGGATTTATAGGATACAAAGAGATAGATAGATATATGTATACTTTATTCATCCCCGGGGAACTGTGTGTGTAGCAGCAGCAGGTAATGCTACATAGTAAACATATGGTATACAATAAGTATTCCGTGTGGAATTAAAAATGCACATTGCACAATATATACATGTGTGGTGACAGTGGAACCTTGATAAAACCAAAGAGTTGGCGGTGGATTTCCTGCTGGGAAAACACATTCCTCAGGATTCAGTGAACCTCCATGGAATGGACATTGAGATTGTTAAATATTGTAAGTACCTTGTCCCTAAAAAACAAGCTTTTTTAACATGAATACGGACTAAATATAAGTTTAATGTCACTTTTGGATTTCAATATCTGAATAGCATCATGACTTTATAATAATTTATCTGGAGAGAGAACTAAGAGAAGAGGGAACATGTTGGAACAAGACTCTGACAGGAAGTAGATTGCTGACAATCTTCCTGTTAAACTGAGGGAATGAACAATGACAGGAAGTGTAAACTCAAGGGCTTTCTGTTGAGAGACACTGGTGTTAAGCAGGTAGCGTGTCAGGTAAACTTCAGCGCCTAAATTTACTGTTTCAGGAAGGGAAATAAAAAAAAATGAGAGAGTGAGTCCAAATACTGGGGCTAACAGGAAGTGATGTCTATGGAGCCAAATCCAGGTCAAAAATTTGGATCATTTGAAAAACAAATGTGACCCTGAACGTTTAGGTTTTGGTCTTGAACATTGACAAATACAACAATGTATTAAAAATAAAAATAAGTGGACGAAAAGTATTTTTGGATTGAATATAGTTTTCACTCAGTTAATATTTCTTTTGTTTCACATTTGTTTTTCAAATGATCAAAACTTTAGACTCCATAGATGTCATGATATTAGCACTCAAGGAATATCTAAGGCAACTAAGTTAAGAAAGTGAAGTCAACCTCATATTACATGACTCTTCAAAAATGAGGTAATTAATATTCACAAATGGTTCGTAGTTAGAGCTGGTTGAGGTTTAGTTACATAGTCACCAAGAAGGCTCAGCAGAGGTTGTTCTTCCTGAGGCAGCTGAAGAAATTCAACCTGCCTGATGGTCCACTTCTACACGGCCATCATCAAGTCCATCCTCTGCTCCTCCATCACCGTCTGGTACGCTGCAGCCACAGCCAAGGACAAGGGCAGGCTGCAGAGCGGATGACACGCTGCAGCCTGCCGACCCTACAGGACTTGTTTGCTTCCTAGACCCTCAAGTTTCTGATTCTGATTCTAATAGTTAGGGCTGGTCCGGTTCATAGTTAAGGCTGGTCAAGGTTCATAGTTAGGTTGGCTCAGGTTTATGGTGCTGACGATCGTCTATATACACTACTGCTGTCGTTGTTGTTGTTGTTGTTGTTGTTAGTTGTAATTTTTCCATGATTATTCCACTAACTACTGTCAATAAAGGAATTTTTGTCATATGTATTGAACAGATTGTAATTCTTTCACATTGTTTATTCTGCACACATCTCATCACATCACATATGTGATGATTTGGGGCGATAAAAACTAAAGGTTTGGTGTATCCTGATCCTTCTCACCTGTTTGAGGACATAAAGATGTGATCTGCTGAGTCCCTCCTGAGTCCAAGTTGTACTTCCTCCACTCGGAGGCCTGCAGGTTTCCTCCTATCACAACTTGTGATCCCTGTTTCCCCAGGTAAAGGTGAGTCTCAGCCAATCTCAAAGCCCCGCTGGTGATGTAGCACCTCCACGGCGGCGCTTCGCTGCATTTGCGCAGTTTAACGAAGCGGGCATGAAGCTGCAGCAGGTGGGAAGAGTCGGCCCAAAGACACCTGGAGGACTGAGTGTGGACCAGCCGGTCTTCGCCAAGCCACGCCCACTGTTGAGCGGCGTTAGTGACGTCACAGTGTACCAGGAGCACCACCTGACTCTGGGCGAGGAGACATAACTTCTCTGGGGTCGACATGATGACGAAACCAGCTGATGAGAGAAGAGTTTCCAACAAAACAAAACGCATTGAATAAAAAGGTTCTGTATTAATATGAAATCAAAGAGTAGACGTGTATTTAAAGGGTCACAGTTTTATTCTTATGTAACAATGTTATAAATGCTGGTTTCTGCAGCAAAGACTCTCTGTTCGTTTAATGGTTTGTTGGTTTGTTTTCATTCATATGAACTGAGCCGTTAACATTTCTGTGATAATCATAATGCATTATAAAAAATATTTTTATGCATTGTAAAAGAGATTCGAACATGATTCAACAAGGGAATTGCAGTAGTAACTAATAAACGATAAGTGAAACTGTTACTCTGTGTTAAAAGAGGAAATCCATTCTGTGTGGGAATATATGTATACATAAAAAATTTATTTTTTATTTTTTTTAATTATATTTTTTCTAACAGCACTACACACAACTATTGTTTTCTTCTAATACTTCATTACATTACAGTATGTATTACTTCAATAAAAGAAATCTAGTAAAGTAACAAAAGTACTTCTTCCATCACTGTACGTCATTAATAATAAAAAACAACTTTTGTCCATTCATTTAGATGTCATGAATATTCATCTCATCAGTGGTGAAAGGAATACTCTTTTACAGCCCTCCTTTAGAGATTTGTTTGGGAACATTACTGTAATATTACTGTGTATAATTCTTTACAGGCTTAAAACAGTAGAACAAGTTTATACAATTGAGGTATTATCATACACAAATATAGTTTTATCTTTTCTTATGGTGAACAAAAAAATAGTTTTTAATTAAACTTAACTTATTTCTTTAAAGATACTTTTTAAAATCAGATCCTTATCTCCTGTACGTGTCAGAGTGAGTCCGTACTTTATCATCTCTGATCCTCGTCATAAGCATAAGCACCACCAGCTCCACCAGCTCAGAACTTACACATACGGCTGCATCCCAGCAGGATGAAGAGGAGCAGAACCCGGGCGTCCATCTTCCTTCATGAGTCCTCCAGCTCCAGATGAGCCGAGCAGAGGAGCTGAAGGGAAGTGAGTGTTGGGAGGGTACGGGGGGGAGTCGGTGAGAAGCATTTCCTTCCATTCAACTGTTGTAGAGGTTTCATGGTGGAGGAGCCAGAGGAAATACCAGAGCACATCTGACGTGTTCATTTGTTCTAAAAAACCTGCAGAAGAAGAAAACATCCAGCAGGAAGAGGAGGAGCCTATTACTCTTGTCTACTTTATGTGGAGGAAAATATAGTGATTAAAAATCATGATAATAGATAATAATTGGCTAAGAGCTCATGTTTTCTGTTATTTATATCTTTAACCACATTCACTAAGATACTGTCAATACGGATCTGTGGTGGCCACTAACCCACAGGATATTACCCATATGCTCTAGGGCCATGATGAGGGCATAAGACTGCAACCAAAAAGTGTGAGTGGTGTTGTCAGAGTGAATGCAGAGTGTGCAATTAATCTGAGAGGAGTTTATTTTTGCAAACCAACAAAAGCCTTACTGTCTTTTTGTTCCTGAAAATTCTGCATTGGTGACCCTTTTTACGTTTGGATGTATCCAGAGTTGACTGAACATGGCAACTAACGCAGTTTCGTTGAATTTGACTGAATTCTGGGAGCAGCATGCTGATGCATGGTTTGCTCAGGCTGAAGCACAATTTAACCTCATAGACATATCAGCACAGGACACGATGTACTGCTATGTGGTTCCTCCTCTGACCAACTGCAGCAAGAGTGGTGAGTGTACTGGAAAATCCACCAACACACACCAAATACAACACGTCGAAAGAACTGTTTACATTTTGTCTGTCCGAATCCGAACAGGCTCAACAACTCTCTGGGCTGTTTGGCCTCAAGAATGCCGCCCAGGCCTTTCAGAGGTTTATGCACACGGTGCTGGCGAGTTTTCATTTGTGTTTGTCTGGACGACATCCTCGTGACAACCTGTCACATCTCTGCTTGCTCTTCAGTCGCCTCCGGCAGCACGGCTTAATCGTCAATCTGGTCGATGGACATCCGTGGATGATTGAGGGGCTTCACACCGCAACTAAGGAGGAGCTCATCTCTTCCTCAACTGTGTTGGTTTATGGCCAACCCCATTGGGTCCCGGGACATTTTATTCCCCATGCTACGGTGCCTTGGTGAACATCTGAACAACAGCGTACTCTATTGAACAAGGCCAAAACCTTCCTGCCAATCCCGACCTCACACCACGGCCTGACCGGAGTATGTGTTCCACCTGATCTACAGTCCGCAAAATATGTGTTTGGGCCCCATTGCAGCAACCCTATGATGGTCCTTACCAGGTGGTGAAGACTGGAAACAAGACTTTTATCATTGACATAGGATGGATTCTGTCTGCCTTTGGCTCCTTTGCCTTGCTACACCGTGCCTGCTTACCATCACCATCAACCATCAACCTCCTGTGATCCCCCCCCGTCTCAACCACTATTGCCTGGCCAGGAGCCTCGGTGTAGATATGCATGGATTATTCATGTTCCTGGTCATTTTACAGGGCCAGTTCTAGTAAATTCTAGGGGGCACTCACCCACAGGACAATGAGTTAGGAGGAGTTTGGAGGGGTATAATTCACAACGATTTTGTCCACCTTGGTAGGTTTAACTGGACTACATTACCCATAATGGGCATAGGACTGCAACCAGGAAGTATGAGTGAACGCAGCAATAAATCAGAGGATTTTGTTTTTGCAAACTAACAAAAGCCTGGCTGTCTTTTTGTTACGGAGACTTCTACAGGTCATTTGATTCGGTTAACGAACAATCCACAGCTCCTTTTTCCCCGTGAAGCTTGACTACAACAGTCACATGTGAAAGCTTACTTACTGGACAGGATGGGGCGTATGGCGAGTCCTACGTAACTCGATGAAACACATCAAACCCTCTCCCTCAGGCTGACTCCAAACCCTCACTCTATAAGGCGGAGCTCCTGACCCTCCTAGGTTGAGCATGGCCACCCTAAGGGTCACGACCCTGAGTTCGTGACCATAGTTGCGAGTCGGAACATTGACCACCCAGAAGAATTGAGAGCTTTCCCTTCTGGCTTAGCTCGCTCTTCACCAAGACAGAGCGTTTTTTACTGTTTTGTTTGAGTTACTGTATTGTTTAACAAGCAGTTGTGTATATCGACAGGCTGCCAAGCTCCACTATCCATTAAACATTCCTTGTTCAATGTCACGCATACTTCCAGGCAGAGTTTAACGTCACACCTTCCTGCTTTGACCTCCAGGTGTAACACTGCTTTCGTGTGATACGGTGCTAAATGCCGGCGCCCCCCCCTCCCCCTCGCTTTTCTCTGACATCCTGTCCTAGACAGGAAGAAGAGGAAAAGGAGGAGCATCTCCTCCACCCACAACATCCTGACTGCAGCCGTCACACTGAACCAACACAATGGACCAAACTCCACTCCTGCAAAGGACAAGAAACCTGAAATATGTTCCATAATTACCTCAGTCTTTTTCATTTGAATGAATAAACCCGTTCCATCAATATAAAACTAAGCACATTAACAAATGCCCTCTGAACACTCTACATACTAGTGATGTATTAATACATAACATATACATACTTGGGTGTAATGACTGAAACACTGTACTACTTCTTGTGCTTTTGGGTCCGTCTTGCATCTTGAGCGGCGGCGTGGAAACCTTCCCTTCAGTGTTTAAAATGCGCCTTACTGTGCACACTGAAACCTCAAGGTGTTTTCAACACTTTTGCGCCCTCTTCAGGCGTATTTGTTTCGCAATGTGAGCGTAGAAGCATGGCGAGGTACAAACATGAAAGCGCAGACTGCCTGTTGTGGGAACTGAAAAAGGCGAGTCACTCTTTCCGTGTCATGCATATGCATTCACGGGAGGGTCAAGGAGACCAGAATGCGGGTTTGCTCACATGTGCCTCCTGGTGAAATGACAGCAGTCGGCTACTAGGACAGGAGATGAGCTGAAAAAAGGCTTTTTGTCACACTTTTTCAGTTGAGTTGTAACGTCACTGACTTTGAAAAGGATACTTCAGGTTCATAACTGGTCTACTTGAGCTCACTTTATTCTTATTATGACCAGAAATGGATCGATCTATTAAACCGTCACAGCCATAGTAGGATGTTACTAAAGTGGAGGAGGCGGCTTCTCGACACTTCTTCTTGTGTGCGTTTCTTATTGTGTTAAACACTCAACTCATTATTCAAGAAGGGTTAGTTGTTGATTTTCTTCTCAGTGATTTAGTTTTTTTAGACTTTAACACTTTAATGTGACGGACCCTTTGTCTTCAACTCTATTTGTTTCGCTGACCCACATGTCCAGGAACCATCATAATAAAGACACAATAAAACCTCAGGAGACATTTGTCCTCTTTAGAAAATAATTTAATAACATTTCAATCCAACATGTAAAAAACAACAGTGGAAGGACGTCGCTCGCTCTTCTCCGCTAATACTCCTAATCATCACATGGGACAAAAGGAAAATGGGGAGCAGCACATCGAGTCCTGTAAAACAGTGGTACCCAACATTTTTTACCTTACGGACCGGTTCATGTCAGACAATATTTCGCGGACCGGTCGAGAAGGTCCGACGGGGGGTGGGGGAGGGGGTGGTGTGGGGGTTGGCGGAACGACTGACGCGCGGGGGGGGGGGGGGG